TAATGATAACAGAATTGACTGAAACTCCTAATAATGCCCAAATGAGCTTTCTACCTCAACAAAAGGGGTGATGACGGGGTACAGTAAACGAAATTCTATTTAGTCCGTCAGTTAGATGATCAAAAAATAATGGACACGTATTTTTTCTTTGGGTAATCAACCAAAAAATGACAAAGTTATAGCGCGTCAAAGTTTGGGAGCTCGTGACGTCACTTTTAAGTGAAAATTGTACCAAAACGTGACGTCATGGGATTTTTCAAATCAATATATCTCTGCAATGTTTATATTATGTGTAAAAAGAAAAAAATACGTATCCAATACTTTTTGATAATCTTTCTGATAAACGAAGAAAAAAAATAGTCATGATCCCTATTATTTGAAACAGTATGATATGTTTAACAAATGGCGACTAGCTAAAGGAGCCAAAACTTTATCAGTCCCCGTGGCATGAGCACCACAATTAACATTATATCACGTTTTTTATCGCGTCTAACTGTCAAACTCCAATTTTTGCAATTGCGTTCCCGTTTTGCGGGCATATTTTATTGAATTATCCGAGACTAAGAAATCAAGCACTCAATGGAGGCCGTATTTAATGCTAAAAGCAACAATAAAGATGAAAAAAAGTCATACATATCGACACCTATCCTAAATTAGAGGCATTTGTCAAAATCTCCTCATCATCCAAAAAATCGAAGTTCACCTGAAATTGAAAAGTGTCTTAACGACGCACCTGATTCCGTTTATTTGACGGCAAAAGTAAGTCAGTTGTATACTCAGTATCAACTCAAGTATATTAATGAACTACTTCACATAATGTAATACGTACTTAGTAGATGTTGATTATTCATAATTATGCACGAACATCAATTTTATTAATTTATCTTTTTTCAATACTGTTTACATTACAAGTTTTTCTTATTATTGGTATTAACGGAACATGTCGCACTAATAAACTAACACAACTTAATGTCAAAAACATTGAGAAACGTTTAGATTACTTACTATTAATTAATTTACCTAATACAAAGACGTAAGAATACGTAACAATTGTTGAGAAGTATCAAGCCTTACGCCTGCCTAATACTCGAATCAATCGTCTTTTTTTACAATATCGCAACGGAAAGTGTGTCAGGCAACCTATGGGTGCTAATGAAATTGGCAGTATCCCACTTAAAGCAACTTTTCTTCAACTTCCAGAACCCCCGGTGTACAAGGGCCATTGTTTCCGACGAACTTCAGCCACACTTTTGGCTAACTGTAGCAACGTTACTTTTAATATTTCTTAATTATACTTATGTATTATTTGTTATAATTTAAAGATTATTCTGTAATACTTACCTATCATAATTAGGGATTGCAATCCCGCAGGATTGAACTGCGGGAATACTCAATCCCGCGCTGGATCACGCGGGATCCAGCATCTTTAAAATTATGTTGTAAACCAATTGAAACTACAGATTTTTGTGTAAGAATAAAATTTATTAAAGATTTCCTACATTAACTAACATATATTATTTATTTTCTTTTAATTAATTGTTAGTAATTAGTAATCTGTTTTTTAGATTCATTTTTAAATGTTTGACATAGTTTAATAGTTTTTTTTAATTTTACCCTATATCTTAACAAACTAACAATTTTATATTGCAGTTATACTTCTTTAGGCGCGTTATGAAAAAATGATGAGAGTGAAATTTTTAGATGCGCGCGCATCACTGTAACCCAAAAGTAACAGCATGAAGTTGGCCGCGGGCGCGTTATGAAAAAATCATGTGAGTGAAATTTCGAGATGCGCGCGCATCACTGTAACACAATAGTAACACCATGAAGTTGGCCGCGGGCGCGTTATGAATGTTAGTGTCTAATAATGGTGGATTATTCACCACTTAGTGGTTAATAATCCACCATTATTAGACATCTGTTCGAAAGGTACTTTGAACGATCCACGGAGCTCCATAAGATGATTGCGTTGTCAAAAACAATGTTGGCACGCTCGTCGCCTCTGATCACTGTTTTCATATTTATAATATTTATCCACATGTCTCTAGTTTCTATATAGACACAACGTGTTTAAGTTACTTACAAGTGCTAATTACATATGGACTAATAACTTAAATTCAGTAGTGATTTTAATTGAATATTTTGAATATTTATTTGATTTTTCAAATTAAAACTGAACTTAATTGCCTGTGTTAACTATCCTTTTCCAGTCCTTTTATTATTTTATTGTAATTATTAATTATTTGCATGCAATTAAAAAATATTTTTAATGATGCTAAAGAAGTATAATTTCTCACGCGCGTACATAAGTTACACGCATCCATTTTTTTAATTCAGTGTTATTCATATAATAACTGATAATCAAATCACAATTCTTTTAGGATGCTATTACTATTGTATCAATCGATTGGCGATAATATCGATATATCGATTTTACTTGAAAATATGCTTTTAAGAAGCAAATGGCATTTATTGTATCATATCCGAGTCGGCATCGGAGCAAACTGCAAATATATCCCGATCGGCTCGGCTTCAGTCTACGCTAGTAGGGTGAAACTCCCAAATGTAACGAACACAACACGAGCTTGTTTTGGGAAATTGGGAAGATGTTGGGGAACGATTGGAGAGTTTCATACAAAGAATACTGAACGGCTCGATTTGATACGGTGACGATATCTTTCCAAGTTCATATGTCTGCTAGGACCATTGTAAACATTCATAAGATTAATGAGTACTGATCTAGTGCTAATAAACAGTAAGAAGTACTAAATTAACTTTAAAGAAATAACGGTGTCGATTCTGGCTTGATTCTCTAAACATAAAGGAAATTTAACATAAGTCTCTCCTTTTCATTCTGTATAGAGAATGACAAGGATACACTCTTGTCTTTAATTTTAAGTTTAGAAAATAAGTAAGGCTCACTCAACTATTATTACAATGTTTCATGAAATACATATACGGATTCGATAGCAGAGGCCTTGATTTATATTATTTTTCGGAGGAAAATACATTCTCATTTTACTTGGCGTATTTCTAAATAATACTTTTCTTATCTTATAAGTTCAGCTTGTGTCACGGGTTTCACAACTGTGGATATTTAGGTATTGAATCAATATATCTAGAATACAAATATAAGGGTCAAAATGGTGACTAGACCTTTATTGTTTATTAAATCGTGTTAAGGTTTGCTTGATTTTCATGCGTAATTCGATATTGGATATAATATATATAGTGTTTTATTTGCGTAAGAATTCCATATTCGAGTAAGCAGTATTTTGATTTTGAAGCTGCCATTGCTTAAAGCGGACACCCCGCTCTAAATGGAACACCCGTCTGGATATTGTTTGTGTGCCATACTTTTAACAAAAGAAACCCTGGCATGTATATATCAACCTTTTTACCCGACTGCGCAATGCAAGAGCGCAAAGCGCGACGTGTAGACAGGGTATAGTGTTTCACAGTCTATTTATGTATTCATGTTCCTTTGCGGCACACTAGAGACCAAACGCGTGGACCGATTTTGATGATTCATTCGTCAATCGATTCGTCTTAATCATGGAAGTGATATTAAATACATGGTAGTAATCAAAAAATATGGAGACAATAAGGCACCATATTGTGAGAAAGAAAAAAAACAAGTTGACGAAATATGTTGAGTGGGATATCATTGTCTAAATAATCGAAAATCATGATTAGGTTGCTTACACCATCTTTCTTTCTTTTTATATGACTGTTTAGTATCTACAACGATTTAAAGTTGTATATTATATTAACCACTTGCGCTTTTAAGATTGAAAATCTTACGTTTGTATGGATCTTTGTTACTCTTCGGTGCAATACCTGCTAGGCTTGTAGTAGCCTGATTGTAGTAGGACTTTTTATTCGAACTTTACACTACCAATAAAAAAGGTAAACCAAAAACCCGACTGCATAAAAATTACTATAAAAACTGAAAAAAAAACAAGTCCAGTAGGTAGTCTATAATTCTATTAAGTAAGGAACAAAGCTACTTAAATAGTCGGGACCCATTAGAGATTCTAGTATGGATAATTTTTTTCAGTAATGGGCCCGACTAGATCCGACCAAGTTTGTTACGACTTAATGTGTTTCAGTAGGTACAGTAAAATCCCCAGCGTAATATTGTATGTTCATGTTTGAGTTGTAAGCCAATTCCGGTACTTGGGACATCTCTTTGCGTGCGTTCGCCAGTTAAAGGTCGCGGGCTTTCTGGTCTACCCTTTTTTATTGGTAGTAAAAGTAAAGACCGAATAAAGAGTTCCACTTATCAATAGGGCTGCTACCAGCCTAGAAGGTGCAATCATAAAAATTACTTGCCACATACTTTTTTCTACCCATGACCTACTCAAACAAAATAAGAATAAGTATAAATTAGCGAATAACGAATTACTGTCTACCAAATTAAATGCTAAGTTACTTTTACCTTAAATTGGTGGTGTGTACTTTTGCATTAAAGAAGACGAACAATAAATTTCCCACTTACCGAATAAACCATTTACTTAATTTATGTGTTTATTTTTAAATCTTTTTCTAGTAAAAGCTAGAATAAGATTTAAAAATAAACAGATCTGCCGATAGTCTGATAGTCTAGTTTCTGCCCGTAACTTCGTGCAGGTTTAGATACTTTGAGAACCTACCCTTTTTTTTCTTCCTAGGTCTCGTTTATAAATAAAAGAAATCTTCAAAATTTCTTCTCCTGCTGCTCTCGCAGTAAGCTCCTTCACATTACAAACCCGCAATCACTTTATCATCATCGTAATATTTTAAATATTTGTCCAAATGCGAGTCAAAAATTGTCAGTCAAGCTTTCGTCCAGCGTTTGAAGAAACACAGTCCGATAATTCATTACAATATACCTAATTCATTTTAGCGCATTTAGTACCAAAGCCATCCAAAGCTTTATCACGCAGGTATGGGAAAAGCATTATAGTTCGGGTCATTTAGCTATGTTTAGTATAACGTTTTTTCTCTTTCTCTTACAGTTCGGGTCAAGGTGGCCCATACTCTGCCTACCTATCCTGCTTGCTGCGTCAGCTTGCGGAAGTGATATCCTGATGATCACACTGGGTGGGACCAAATCACACAAAATGCCCTTCTGGGAACTTTCCAGGGGGTTAATCAGAAGGTATGGTAATATCTGAGACTAGCTGGATTAATCAGGCTTCATCTGCACGAACTTCATAACTTAATTTGCACTGGGAATAATATTATCCTACAGATGTCGCTGTTCTGGTGTGACACGTTTCATCCACATCAGAGGCCCAAGCATGAACTTTCTCAGATCCGTATTCGTATTGTCATCGTTTAATTTTGTATGAAAGTAGCTAGTTTGTTTTTACATCCGGTAGTGGAGCTGCTTAGATTTCATAGAAGCTGTTTTTTTATAGCCAAGCAAATGACGCTACCTCACCTCATGTTAAGTGGTGATAAAGTCCAAACGAGAAGATAGATTTGACGACGTGATAAGATTATGGAGCTGTCAAAGATCGTGCTTGGGCTCCTGCTAAGCTGTTTCAGCCAAAGATTTAAAATATTTGGTTTCAGCAAGTTTGAGTAATAAACATTAAAAGATAAAGTCTTTCTAATTTAATATCGCAGCAGAATTTTGTACAAAATAAAACAGCTACCCCAACTGAAAATCAAATCCAGTACCTACGCTCCACTGTGTCGCTTGCAAATGGTTGGTAATGGAACCCCATTACAAATTGTTCCCTGGTCATTCTCATAAACCGAAATAGGGTAAAAATATTCTGAGTGTGTTTTTTTTTGCTACTTTAATCACAAATATAAAATGAAATATAAGAAAATTACAAGAAATATCCCATTCCGGATGAATTTTTAATATGTACTTACAACATAAAAAATTACTTTCTATTAAAAATCTTACGGCTTAGGTCCACTTGTAGCAATTTTGCTATTCTTGATTTACTCAAAACCAGTTTTAGGCCATACAAGAATTTCATGTTATATTTTTGCACGAGCTAAATCCATTTCTAGTTAAATCGAGCTTTAGCAAATTTTCCGCAAGTCGTAAAACAACAAATTTAAGAATTAAATTAAGCTAAAGCTACCATACAAAAATCGTGAGTTTTTCGGTGGTTTTGTTAAATGTCAACAATTTATGTTAAATTATTAATATAAAAACTTCCTTGGATGGTACAGAACATTTGGTTTGTGAGTCTTACTCGTATTTTGCTATTTGCCTATATAATCTTGGTTCAGCATCTATCGCTATCCGCACTAGGTCCGTTATCATCTACCAATCCGCCCTGGGTCCGTTATCACCCACCAATCCGCGCTGGGTCCGTTATCACCCACCAATCCGCGCTGGGTCCGTTATCACCCACCAATCCGCGCTGGGTCAACTGGGTCGCGTGGTTATCAACCATCAAGCACTAGATTCATGTATTTTATGACGGGTATTGTTCATAGTACACATGGTATTGGTACTAATCGTAACGCGAAATCGTAACACATTCGCCAGTTTACCCCCCAAGTCAAGAGTGCCTAAAGAAGTTTTACTTCAAAAACGTAATTTTACTGTGGTAATTAGCTTTCGCATGGATAGAATTTTTCATCTCAGTTAATGTTGACTTATTAATTTTATTTGTTCAGTTACGTTTACGTGGTGTAAATATTACCTACCTAATGGTAGACAAATTCAAACAATGTCACTGATAAATATAATTATTATGTCATGGAACATTAACAAATAGGATTTAATTTTTTTCGACGACAATTTTTTTAAATATGCGTCTTTAAACCATTTTTTTAATAATTATGTGTTTATGCATTACTAGCTGTACCGCGCGGTGTTAACCGCGGTTTATAAGGGATATTTTTATATCCCTAAAGTAGCCGTAAAAGTAAAAAGTAGACTATGTGTTAATACAGGGTGTCAGCTAACTCCATACCAAATTTTATTAAAATCGCTCCAGCCGTTTAGACGTGGGGAAGTAACAAACATACACGCTCACACAATCACAAGCTTTCGTCTTTATAATATAAGTATGATTCGCTATAGCTAACAGTCCGGAACAATGTATTTACTTAGTAATAGGTGTAAGTAAAAGCTTGCTTTAAGTTTTAACAAAAATCACATAAAATAGGTTCAGGTTTGGTTTAGTACTAAAAATCTTTCCCACTTGTACTAAAATTCTTAAATCGACTTTAAAAGCTAACCACGCATAAGCCTAATTCTATCTCCATTTGAACTTAAACCATTGACAAAGATGGAATGACGGTGTTAAACAGGATTAAACCTTAATTTTAATTCAGATTTTTTGTGCAAGCGGCTCTCCAATACGATTATATAAAACAAAGTCGAGTTAGTAAGAACACTTATATAACTAATAAAATATCGGAAAAAACACGGATTACAAATAATAAGTTTTGAAATAGATTACGTTTGTTACTCCGCCATATTCTGCAATTGACAGTTCATGTCACGCATTTGTATGTAGGGGAGATGAAGACACATTAGCACATGTTTCATATTTGGACTCATAAAAAATCAACAGCAAAGAGAAATTGAAAAAAAACATAGTTTTCTTAGCTTACTTACTCCTTTGTTAATATAAAAATGATAAAATGATTGAATTTGCTGAAAACGTTAAAGAGAAATAATGTGTTTTTTTAAAACACAAATTTGTTCAAATCTGCCTCCCCATGGGGCCACATTTGAATCGTCGTGGGGCAGTTTTGAACAATGGGTTTAACCAGAAAAAAGAGAAGATAGCATAATAATGTGTCTTTATTATAATGAAATTTATTATTATAATTATAAAATAAACTGATACGAAACTTTTCAGTTACATCTTGCATTACAGTAATAAAAAAATAGTAATTTATAATTGTGTCCGACTTCCTCCTTGTTAACAAAAGTAATCATATTGCACAAGCGTTTGCGTTTATTGTTATTATAATTATATGATACTGCCTCAGACGCAAAATTAAAAATAAAATAAACTTAATATCAAACTTCTAAAGAAACACAAAAAATCAATCAATAATTGACAAACGGGTCAATCAAATCAATGAAATCTGCCCCATGGTCACTTGGAAGATAAAATAATGTGAAATAACTGGCAAGTAAAAACTACAAGGTGGATTGAAAACTAATAAGTACTGCACAATTTTCTGTATGAATTAGTTGGAAACCTTTACTCACGTGATAGTAAATCCCTTATAACATTTATTTTTATTATTTACTTTACTGGTACAAATACGACGATAGGTTATAAATCTTTTTGAAAATGAAACACGCGCGCTTTTTACTTGAATTTTGTCACAGTCAGTGCTGCCAATATTAAAATGTAGTTTCGGCATAGATTAACATAAAGTTATGTTCAGAAATCAACATGTTCAAATCTGCCCCTGTGCTAAGGTGCCTCCTTCTCCCCTATTGCTTATTTATATTGAGATTTCTTTTTTTTTTATTTACTGCATATCAGTGACATAATAGATAATCTAAAATAGAAATTTAATTTTACCAAAATTTATTGGAAAATAGTGATAAGAAATTATGCTGGTGTTTTTGCCAGAAGACGATGGGTATCAGTCACCATTCAGAAATCGGAAATCAATATATCTTTATTCAAATTGGATGCATTGGACAAAACACTTTTGAATTATTGTTGGTACACTTCATAGTATATTAAACGAAGTCATAGCCACCAACTATCGGATTGACTTCCCAACAGCTCAGAAAAGTGCCTGGCTGGTATCTCCTAAAAACTATTTAAAACGTAAAGTAAAAGATGATATAAAATGAGCAAACGCGCAGGGAATTAATCAAATCCTCGCCACAAACATTAAATGAAAAATCGCGTCGGACAAGACACAAAACACAGCGATTTAATTTTGTTACTATGACAGTTTCTATTTTATTATTTTTTATAACATTATTTTCAAGCTCTGAAGGCACCATAAGAACAAGACAGTTTAGGCAAGATCAAGGAATATATTTTGATAAGGTATGTGACATGCAATTGATAAGAGACGAATGGAAAATCATTATTTACTATGAAATGGATCCTTATTGGAATGGTATTACAGTACTGAATAAGTATACAAACAACTTGGAACAAACATGCAAGGCAATACGAGAACAAGGTCATTGCGATATCATATTGACACAATTAAGACACGGCATCTTCGACCTTGAGTACTACAACAGCATGTTGCTGGGTCAGCAATCAGTCCCGGGCGCCGCCAGACAGCGGCGCGGGCTCATTGACGGAGTCGGATATGTAGCGAACTCATTATTCGGCGTATTAGATCAAAGATTTGCTGAAAATTATCAAAAGGACATTCAACAACTAAGAGATAATCAAAAACATATTACTTTATTTTGGAAAAATCAAACGTCTATCATTGAAGCGGAGAACAACCTTTTAAAACGGACTGCAGATACTATTAACAAGCAGCATAAAATGATAAATCAACACATTTTACAGCTGGAAGGAGCATTGAATACGTTGAAAAGTAAAACAGAATCTACGTTGATAATGAGCGAGTTCACATTAGCCACCGTAGTAGCAAGCAATATGCTTCATAATTTGAAAACAATTCAAAACACACTTATTGACACAATAACTGACATTTTCCATGGCCGTTTTAACCCCCACTTACTCACTCCCGAACAAGTACGAGACGAATTAAGTACTATCGCTAGTCAACTGACGAAAGACCAGACTCTAGCGGTGGACGATGTGCACCTGAATATACAACGATTTTACGAGTTGTTGAAGGTGAAAGCACGCATGTTACAAGACTATTTAATATTTGAGGTGAGACTGCCTCTTATCAGTAGAGATACTTTCGAGATATTTCGAACCATATCAATTCCTCAGCAAAGAAACGATTTGATGATTAGTATAGTACCTATTTCGGAATATATTGCGATCAATTTGAAAAAGGACAACTTTATTAACATGGCTGGGAGCGATCTGAGAGCCTGTAAACAGATGGACAAGGCTCATTTATGTTACATTTTAAAACCTATTTATCAACTAAAGATGGAGTCTCAATTTTGTGAAATAGAAAATTCTAAATGTAAAACTACTACGAGAGAATGTAACAATATTTGGTTAGAGAGTCATACAATTAACAATTATATTTATTTCTGTTGTGACCGGTGTCAATTGCGCGAGATATGCGCAGATCAAGTTACAGCACTACAGCTGTCTAGCGCCGGTATACTTAGTATGGACAGTGATTGCATTATCAAAACAGAAAACTTCACGATGTTGGCACATAAGGAACGATCAAATAAAATTAATATCCATCCAGAAATATATTCACCCGTAATCGCACCTATTAATCATATTATAAATATTTCGTTGCCTCAAATTCCTTTAAACATAACAGAGATGGATGCTGATAACAGTATTACTAAATTGGGAGAAAGGATAAAGGAAATGAAACAAGATACTGTAGATATATCATTAGACAACATGTCGTCCCATGATATTCACCACTACAGTATGATCTATGGAATCATCGTGGTAGCCGGCATCGTAACAATAGTCCTGATAATTCGTCGGGTACGGTGCCGCTGCCGGTGGAGTGTGCCCAGCACGCCGGGCGCGCCGGGTGCGTCGGCGTCGTCGGCGGGGGCAGAACAGGGCCAGCTACAGCTGGCGACCCTGCCCGCCTGCCCAGCAGCACAGTCAGTGAACGTGCGTTCTAATAGTGAATTTAGTGCAGAGCATAGTGCGCGTTCGGTGGATAGTGCAGTGAAAAGTGCGCGGTTTGTAAATAAAGCCACATCTCCCGTGTTGCATACTCGTTTTTAGTGAATGTGTGAGATGTTGGACTTCAAAAACTCTAAGATTAATTTAAGCAATAAGAATATAACCTACATACATATTTAAACAAATTTTATCGTTATCATCAATTAAGAGTTAAATCATTGTTGTTTAATAAAAATTTACTTGCAGATTGCATATTTTGCATTATACTAACATAGCAACCTAAGAAATATTGTTACTAACACAAAAAAAAAACGCATTTGCATAATAATGTTACTTATCAAGCAGTTCTTATCAATCTAATAAATATTTTTTTGTATTTCCTGTTCTTGTTGCCCGGGAATATGTACGGGCAAACCCGTACAATTCTATATGTTTAAGTATTATGCTAACGTCGGCGCTGCGCGCGACTCGTTACGCCTTTTATTAAGTGAATTGAACAGTAGCAATAAATTACTCATACAAACAACATCGTTTATCATTTAACATAACAACATTTTCGGGACAGTTTTTCGGAACTTATCATAACGTATCAAGCAACTAAAGGTGTCCCAGACACGAGCACTATTTAAAACTGAAGCTTAGCTTGGTGGTGATCATTCTTCGAAATTTAAACCAACCACGTAATGAAACACATTCGGTGATAAGAAAACTGTATGATATAGGTTGTGAACTTTTATTGTAATTTAATTTTCTATTATATAATTATCAACAACCATTAACACACAACCCACAATAATATAATTAACAGCCTACAAGTTATTTTAAAATCTAAAATTTAGTTAAAAATAACGACATTCTCCTATTGTAAGCGGTACATAATAATACAATATAATTTGACCATGTGAAGAATATTTGGTCCGTTATTCTCAACAAAAAAAAAAATTACCGCAACAATTTGGTAACAAAATATGGACGATTCAAAAGCGTAGAGCCGCTGGCCATGTTGCTCTATGTTCAAATAATAAAGGCAATAGCCGCTTTCAATTTGAATAAATTTCAATTAAAATATTCAGTTTTAATTTGTTTGAGTTTTGTTCAACTTAAATACTAATAGTAACATATTATAACAGCAAGAAATAAAAATCATCTTTTTGTTGTGGATGGTAAATAATTTCATATACAATATATACAGAAAATATTTTCGTGTCGGTAAAGATACCTTAGGCGTGTGGGAACTCTGTACGTTGTTGTAATTAAAAGTTGCCGCTTTTATTAGCGAAGTGAATCTTTGAAGCTTCAATCTCTCATTACTGTTTAATTATAAGTTGTTATCAAGGAAAAGTTTTCGCAATAACAACACATTGGTTAACGAGTTTGATGGCGCAGGTGTTAGCGAGTTCAGCCCGCGATCATGAAAGTTAAGCAACTTTCGCTATTGTTGGTCATTGGATAAGTGAAAAAAACGAGTGTGCTTATGACCACACGACTGAAGTGAAACTTCTTTAGCTCCATCTGTATATATATATATTTGTGTGTACAATATATACATGTATGTACATATAGGTACATATTTCATTTACTAGTTATAAGAGAAAGAGAGAAAGAAAATGTGCCCGCGCACTGCTCTCTCTTGCTTATATCCCCCACTCAACTCCCGTTCGCCTCGTCCGATCACACTTTTCGTAATGCGTTCGCCAGCGTACTCCCCAAGTCAAGCGCGCGTAAAAAAGTTTCACTTCAAAAAACTTACTATCTTGGGCTCCTCTGTGCTTCGGAAGGCACGTTAAGCCGTTGGTCCCAGCTGCATCTGCAGTCATTAGCTCCCACGATTCCCCACTGGGTCCACGTAGTGGGTCACAGAACAGTCTCCCTATTCCATACATAGGGAAGGCCTGTGCCCCAGCTGCTGGGACCATCAATAAGCTAATGATGATGGGTTTTAGTTTCGCACAACATGTGGCATTTAAAGTGTTTGTTTAATGTTATTACAAGGAGCAGCGCTGCGTGAGGCGGGTCTCCCACGCAGCGGGTCTCTATGAAATGACATAAAAACTGCACACGGAGTGGACACCCACTCCGTGACCCGCGTAACGCAGCGCAGCCTCTTAATTAGTTTCTGTTCCTACATTGATTATGCCTTCACACAACTTCTGCTGCCCGGAGCCATGGCCCTTTTGACCCTAAAGTCCAATAACTCTCATGATTACATTTTGTGATTAAATCATATTATCAGGGTGTATCCAGGGTGGATATCAGTTGGGACCAAAGTCCTTGTCAAGGCTATTCAAAGAAACCCAATACAAAGGGATTTTGTCATTTTGTGACAGAGTTCCTGTGTCCACCTGGCTCCATTATCAGTTCAGTGCCATGTTACAATAAATACAAATATAACATTACATTTGCACCCGATTTACTTGTAGGTTGAGGATGACTGTTTTAAAATTCAGTAAGGATTTGCCCTCAACGACTCAACGTACGAGTCGAGTCTAACATTGTAATAAAAAAGCTTTAAAAAAGTTTTATTATGTTTTGCAGGGGCCACAACATCACGCTGATCAGTGCGTTCCCTCCAGACTTTCACATCGAGGGTTTGGAAGATATCGCCCCCGACCACCTGGCGAGGTACGTCAGGAACTTCATGTCGTGGGACCTGGTGGGAGCCCGGATAAGGGGGGAGGAGCCTTTACCACCGCTGGACATCATGAGATACCCTTATGAGGTATAAAAGGTTGTTGGGTCTTTGGCGTTGCACCAAAAGGCTTCCTTAAAAGATTATAATTAGGTATTATAATTTTCAACATTCCTCCAAGGTTACTTTAAAAAAAAGCACCAAAAAGTACTTTGTATTTAGAAGACCAAAAGTTTGACATTCCTTAGTTGTATGTTCGGCAAGATAGCTTTAATGGCTGATTTCTGTACATTTTTTTTTGTTATTGTGTTACTTTTCACTTTTTTGTTGATGTTTACAAATAATAAACGTGTAATTCTATCTCTCCTAACTTCTGTACTGTTTCCATGTGAGACGGGGTGGTGAAGCGCATTACCCGCTTGTTTTAAAACGGCAGTCATAGATTATAGTATAGACGCTTTCGATAGTATACTTGCGTTGCCTAACCTGTCTCCATTCACATTTGCAACCCTGTGGAGCCAAAAAGTTAGTGACCTGTCATTGTGGTCTTCTGAAAGGTTAAGTCAAATCAGGTGGAAAACCCGCAATCTCTTTTCTACTTTATTCTTTATCTTCGAGAACTTCTCTCGGTATGGTACAGCTGCTTTGCCGTTCTAATTGTTTGACTTCTTTATCTTTTAGCAGACCACAATGAAATGACACTGCCTTTAAGTTTCACGTGGTTGCGTCTGGGATATGATATTATTATGAATTTCTATAAAAAACTACGTAAGGTGTTTTGACTGATACCATTTCGATTGCGACAGGTATGCGACGTGTTCTACAGTGACCCAGAGACTAGATCCTTCCTTAGATCGGGAAGGAGCTACGATCTTATAGTCTTGGACGGGGCATTTCCTGAATGCGCTATGGGTGTTGTTTATCGCTTGAAGCTTCCATTCATCTTCATCAATACAGTTGGATTCTACACTATGGCATTCAGCAACTCTGGGAGTCCGACCCCTTACTCTGTCACACCATTCTTCGGCAAAGCTTATACTGATAACATGAATATCCTGGACAGAGCTATGAATTTTGCATGGCATGCAATTGCGTATACGGCACACAGTGTCTCCATGATGGTATTGCAGGGAGTGCTAAGAAAGCACTTCGGTCCTCAGATTCCCCATGTTTATGATACGACGAAGAATGTCAGCTTCATACTGCAGAATGGACATTACTCTGTGTCCTATCCGAGACCGTATTTGCCTAATGTGGCGGAAGTGGCGTGCATTCACTGCAAGGATGCCAAACGATTGAATCCTGTAAGTAATTTCGATTTTGCAAACAGTATTGATATTTGTGCCACTAACAAAACGAATTTGCTTCATTCAACACATCTAGTTATTAATAAAATAAAATTTGATATTTCCATAACTAACTAACCTCATTCAAAATTTCTATTAAAGCACTGGTTAGCCATATTTTTATATCGAAAGAAAATGTTACTAAAAAAATGGTTGCCTGTAAAGTCGGTTTTACGGGCGAAGATTTTACGTGACAACGTCTTTTTCTCGGTAGAATATTTATTGATATGAATATAATTAAATTGCACAATAGGAACAAGGAATTGAATGAAAATAAGAATTGCACAAATTTTAACTATAGAAATATATTTTGTTTACTAAAACATTGTACATGTAAACTTAAACTTAACACGAGAGACTCATCGTAACGTTACCGAGCGTTACACTTTTTCATAAGTGACTCCCAGCCGCAACCTAATTTAAGACGTTGTCACGTCAAAAATCTTTAGGTACGATAAAGTTAATTGAATAAGGTAACAAGACCGATCTTGGTATTTTATTCAAATAAGAATGGATTTCTGATTGCTCAGTTTGTCTTGAATATTAGGTTATCGTCTTTTATCATCTATTCCATTGAATCGGTTTGTCGTCGGTAGTATTAACATCATGGGGATTCAATTCTACATATTTGCTAACATTGTTATAGATACTGTTGGAAAAATCATAATGAAATAATTATTTTGTTCTAAGAATTTTTTTTCTATGAGTTTTTGCCAAAGTCGCTTTCTGTCTTCCAAAACTTTTTTTAGGTTGTGGTCAACTATTATCCCATAAGTAAATGCATGCGCACTTTCTCCAAACAGCTTTATACAAATTAAATTGAGTAATCAAACTAAAGTAATTGTGATTACATGTACACCTAATATGAATATAAATTGTGTTGTAAAATAACAAGGACAGGTATGCTTTACGGAAGTAGACCCTAATTAAAATAAGAACGTAATAAGGTTTGTTACCCAAATGATTCCAGTTTTCTTTGTTTAAGTATATGTGTTTGCTTTTGTGTAAGTATATGGGGAAGTTGACAGAAATCCATAGTTACAACAGCTTGACAGTTATTTAAAACAATAAGCAAATGCAGAATATGATTAAATTAGTAGTAGAAAGTATGGTATGGTTTTATTTAAAGTCAGAATTTTACAAAAGTTACATATAATGTGTATGTAGTAAGTTTTATAGTCAGCAACTTCCTAGTACCGAATATATTAAGCTTAAAACATTTAATAATTCATTTAATTAAATTTTTCTACCTAAGTGGGTACTCGTACTCTCGTCCCTACTTTTCAAGGTAACCACGGAAGACCAGCGTCGGACAGTCTACGACATCCGACACATGCTGAGTGGACTGCCTTTTTAGTGACGCAAATGTTTAGACTTAATTTATTATATTTATGTATAAGGTGTGTACTAATTTGTGTCACTGAATAAAACATTTTCTTTGCAAGTTTCCATTTTAGATAAGAATTTAAGCTACTTATAGGATTGCTTAAAAATATTTATACCTTAAACGACAATTAAGTTGGGGAGCACGATGAAGCAAGTATTTAGCATGATGGGTCGGGAAGTTAAGCATTTTTGCAATAGCCGATTATAGGATGGGTGACCAAAAATAAATAAACTTCAGCTGGTCAGTGCTTCGGTGGCACGTTAAGCCGTTGATCCCGGCTACATTTGCAAACGTTAGCACGTATCAATCCGTACTGGGCCCGTGTGGTGGGCCATGGACTAGTTTCATAAGGAAGGCTTGTACCGTAGCGGTAGGGACATTAATAGGCTGCTGGTGGAAGATGTTAAAACGGCAGTGACGAAGATAGTATTGTTCCAAATTATTGGGCGGGTCTAGCAAGTATATTCAAGTAAATTGAGATCAGCTTTATTCACAATATTTTACAACTCTTTAACTAGGAAATTTAAGAGCAAGTTAGAGAACAATAGTCCCAAAGTTCGATGTGAAGTATTTATCATTCTAATTAAATCTAAAATCTGATAGGCATTACCAATGTGTTTTATTTTAATCATCTTAAAATTTCATGTTATCACTCAATTTGTTAAGGATCACTTAGCTCCGTGTAAACAAATCATCTCGAAATTTCATGTCTATCCTCAGGACATCGAAGAGTGGATTTCCGGAGCTGGTGACACGGGCTTCGTATACGTTTCAATGGGATCCTCAGTGAGGACTTCTAACATGCCCTTATCTGTCCACCGGTTATTCGTCGAAGCTTTAGGAAGACTACCACACAGAGTTCTATGGAAGCAGGATGCGGAACAAAACATGACCAACATGCCGTCGAACATTAGATTGTATAAGTGGCTACCTCAGCAGGATTTGCTTGGTAAGAATTATTTTATACTAGCAGTCGCCTACTGGCTAAAATTTATTGGATTGGATTGTCTAGGGAGACTACCACACAGAGTTCTATGAACGCAGGACAAAACATAACCAGTATGCCGACGAACATAAGACCTATGACTGTACGTGGCTGATTAAGTAGGATTTTCTTGATAAGCATTTTTCTATAGGAGTAGTCGCCTATTGGCCGGATTTCAACGATCCTAATGAAAATGTTATTTAAAAATCCTATTGCTTTGTTATTAATTATTTTCTTAAAACTCAAAACGAAGTTCTAGTGTTATTTATATTGATGTTGATATTGTCACTTTCTTTGTGATAGAATTACACAACAAGTGACATTGGCTAGCATTACATTTAATTGATGTCATTGAGTACTACCATTTAAGAGTCAAGTAACGATTATTTGTTAATAAAAGACAAGATTAAAATAGCAATGTTCTAATAAAATTGCATTAAAATTAAGCTCTCCTTTAAAACTTGACTTCCGCGAATTAATGTAAATGTACATGTTTATTTTCCGACGCAACTCAAAGTTTGTTTAAAAACAGAAACTTTACTTATGATTCTATTTCAAATAAGTAAAACATTTCAAATTTATTTTCAGGTCATCCGAAGATTAAGGCATTTGTCACCCACGGTGGTCTCCTTAGCATGTTCGAGACTGTATATCACGGAGTACCAATAGTCACTATCCCAGTATTTTGCGATCACGACGCCAATGCAGCAAAGGCCGAAGTCGATGGCTATGCAAAGAAATTAGAATTGAGACATCTCACGTCCGATAAGCTTTATAAAGCTATTACGGAAGTTATCAATGAACCCAGATACAAAATAGAGGTGAACAAAAGACAGATACTTCTCAGAGATCAAAAGGAAACTCCCTTAGAAAGAGCAGTCTATTGGACTGAATACGTTATCAGACACAAAGGAGCATATCACTTGCAATCGCCAGCGAAAGATCTGAATTACTTCCAATACTACATGATAGATGTAGCTGTCATTGTATCTTTATTATTGCTAGTGACTTTTGTAATATCATTCTATGGATTAAGATCCCTGTTCCAAAATCTAGTACGCTATGTTCAACACAAAGAAATAGAAAAGATTGGAAAGTCTAACGGATTGCTAAAGCGGTCTCAGATTCTAATAGACCAGACGACGATATCAAAGAAGGAGCTGTAAACGTATATACCAAATTGTTATAAAACTAAGTTACCATTACAAGTTACCACAAGAGATTGAATACAAATAATGGTAGTACATGAATAAAAAGTGATAAAAATGTAAATATTTTAGAATGTAAATTTGTAGAAATGATTAAGTTTTAGCGTAGTAATTAGAACGAATTAAGAAATGACAAACTTGATGTGGTAGATTTTGCTCATGATAGTACTTATTATTTAATTTAAGTTTGAGTGATGTTTGTTGTAAGTAAAGAAATATTAAAGAATTTTTACTATTTTAGTTCTGGACATATTATTATTATTTATTGCAATTTCAGTTTATTAAGCTGGAACGGCAGGTAAAAATATTTTTTTGTTCCAAATAAACAATCCAAGAGCTCTAAAAGTTAAAGAATCATATTTTTTTCCCATAGCAACTACTATGATATTTTAAAGAATAAAGGATTGTGGAGTGGAATACCAATATAAAGCATAGAAAAGTATTTTTTTAATGGTTTAAATAAACAGTCTTGACTGGGTAAAAGAATATTTGAATTCATTATACTGGTGATGACGGTGTAAAATAAACGAAATTCTATTTAGTCGAATTCGACTTTTTGAAGAGTCACTTAAGACTATCAAAAAATAACCGGAACGTATTTTTTCTTTTGTCCATCAATCAAAAATTAGTTAGGTACAGCACGTCTAAGTTTGGGAGTATCTCACTTCTTAGTAACAATTATACCAAGACGTGACGTCATACGACATTTCAAATCAATTATATCTCTGTAATGTTTTGATTATGAAAATAAAGCAAAATACGTGTCTACTGTCTAATACTTTTTGGTAATAAACCTGATAGACAAAGAAAAAAAATGTTAGTTACTTTACCTATTGCCCTACCGGGATTAGTACACAGTACTTCAAAGTAGGTAATCCTTGAAACAGAGCGTAAATACTATTCTACAACGGAAGAACATCAATTTAAATTAATCATCATAAATTAATTAAAAAGGGTTTTATAGAAATGTAGGGATTCAATTTACATAAAAAGAAATGAGAAACGGTTATTACTGTATATAAAGCAATTTAAATATTTTTATGATCATAATTATTAATATGGAGGATAAGTATAGTAAAAAGAACTAGCGGCCGCCCGCGACTTCGTACGCGTGGAGTTAGTTAGAAATAAAGGTTCACTGCTCGTTTCTCGTAGGTGATAATATGTCACCTATATGTTGACACGACTTCTTAAGAATATTCGTGCCAGATTTGAAGTAAATCCATGCAGTACTTTTTGAGCTTATCCCGGACACACATACAGATAAACAGACAAAAATTCTAAAAACTATATTTTTGGGTTCGGTATCGATTGTAGACCCCAAGTATTCTTTTAAAAAAAAATGGATGCGTGTAACTTATGTACGCGCGTGAGAAGTTATACTTCTTTAGCATCATTAAAAATATTTTTTAATTGCATGCAAATAATTAATAATTACAATAAAATAATAAAAGGACTGGAAAAGGATAGTTAACACAGTCAATTAAGTTCAGTTTTAATTTGAAAAATTAAATAAATATTCAATTTATTCAATTAAAATCACTACTGAATTTAAGTTATTAGTCCATATGTAATTAGCACTTATAAGTAACTAAAACACGTTGTGTCTATATAGAAACTAGAAACATGTGGATAAATATTATAAATATGAAAAAAGTGATCAGAGGCGACGAGCGTGCCAACATTGTTTTTGACAACGCGATCATCTTATGGAGCTCCGTGGATCGTTCAAAGTACCTTTCGAACAGATGTCACTAACATTCATAACGCGCCCGCGGCCAAATTCATGGTGTTACTATTGTGTTACAGTGATGCGCGCGCATCTCGAAATTTCACTCACATGATTTTTTCATAACGCGCCCGCGACCAAATTCATGCTGTTACTTTTGGGTTACAGTGATGCGCGCGCATCTAAAAATTTCACTCTCATCATTTTTTCAAAACGCGCCTAAAGAAGTATATAACTATAACTTCAAAAATATTCAATGTACAGTTTCGATTTTCCTACCATTTTATTATATAGGTGATGAATCATCGAAATAGATGTGTGATGGATGATAGCATGTTTTCGGAAAATTGCGATTACCGAAAACATGCTTCAAATTTGATATTATTGGGGTTCAATTGGCAAAAAGGGAACCTTATATCACTTTGTTGTCTGTCTGTCTGTTGTCACAGTTGGATTTGGTACATACGTATGCCTGTGACCCATACACAGAAAATAAAAAAACTGAATATATTACGTTTTGGGGGGAATTAGGGAGTTAAAAATTTTAAATTACCTAACTGTACCGTTTATTATTATTTTTTATTATTAATCATTTAATTGCTAGTTCTTTAAATCTAAAGAAATTTTTACTAGGAAAATTTCCACGAGGTTCAGGAAGCAGACGAGACTCAAAACCGCACCCTCCGCTTTAGATTTAAACATCTAGCAATTAAATGCTTAAAAATAACAAAATAATAAACTACAAATGCTATTTCTTCTTTCAAATGTTTAATACCTGTTACGGTTTCAGCCCCGTCTCCTTCCTGGACCGCGTGGATGTTTTTCTAGTAAAATTTTCTTTAAACAGTTAAATATTTTTTTTAGCGTGTTAACATGATAAAACAATATGATATCAAATGAAAAGGCTCAATGTGAAGGTTTCAAACATTTTTTTACGTGTAGAGAATAGTTTAAATATTATTTCAGAATATTGATGAAAATTGACTTGTTCCTCCTTTAACTTTAAAACTACTGCATCTAAAAAAATGGAATGTTGCTCTTTGCTTGAAGATTATGGGAACACCCATAAGAATTTAACAGCTTGCCTGGTTGTATAGATAACGGTACGAAGTGCTCTTCGTGCTCGAGTCTGACTCGCACTTGGCCGGATTTGTTGTACTGGACCTTGTTACGACAAGTTAGTGAAAATACTTTTTTAAATAGGCCCACGAGTTCTTGAGTTTATTCATTAAAAACATACAAAAATATAAATATTTCTTCTTTATATTATAAGTAGTTACCTATGTGTATTAATATTAATAGCTATGTGTAAATACACAATGAGAGCGTCATTTTACTTAAGCAGTAATTACGTAGTACAGTATCTGCGACGCCACGTTACATTTCTAGGAAAGAAACTGCTATTTACTTACGGCGGGGTCTTTACGTAATTTAGGCCTTCTGAGTCCACATGATAGTTCATTTTCACGTTCTGTCCACATTTTCAAGCAATAAGAGTGGACGCGAGCTGAGAGACATTTGAGAAATATGTAGGAATTTGAAAAAACTATTGCTGTCACCCATTGGTCCACCGTCCGATAGGGACAACAGTAGTTAACGCTTAAAATTGCGTATAAAAATTGCAAAATTCGAGGTTTGACTCAGATTAAAATAGAAAGGGAAGATAAGGCACTCGCGGCTAAAAAGTGATCCGCTTAAATTGTGGTGCATGGCCACAATTCGTTTAGTCACAATTGGACATTCAAACACGCTGCATGTGCACTAAATATAACAATATTGCGTATATTCTGTGTTAAAAAGATAGAACAGTGCCTTGGATGCTTTTATAAAGAACACAAATAGTTCAAAATCAAATAACAAATGCCTCGGCGAAACACTTTCCATTCGTAAAACTGTAAAATCATTTTTTTCTCAATAATCACGGTTTGTCGTGAATGTTATTTACGTAATCGCCATTTTGTTATCAAGGAAAGGACAACTATACAGCTCAGCCGTGCGGACTCGGACGCAGTTGAAGCGTACAGTTCTGTCTCGCCCGCTCGATTGAATGTTCTTTACAGACGTGTGCGTGTGTGAGGGATGCTCATGTAGTTGAGTCGGAGCATATTTTATTTGATGCTAGTATGAGCGTACCTTATCTTAGTTTTTGTTTTAATCTAACAGGTTTGGTTCTCGACGATTTCCTCCTCGCAAATTAGATATATGTAAAAATGCCTTTTTGAGGGCTTCCAGTTTCTTTGAAACACTAGTTATCGAAAAAAGAAAGAAATTGGAGCATAGAATGAGTAAAATTATATTTAATGTATGAAAATCTATTTTTTAGTGACAAAACTCAAGGAAGAATCAGTCGAGAACGTTTGTATGGAAAGAAAAAAAACACTGGAATACGGGCTGGAAGATGGTGTCGGGTAAACAAAAGGAAATCTTCCCAAATACGGGCGTACTCGATTCCGTTCATTTACACTAAGGCCCGTATTATAGAAAGGTTCTCAGTGATTGATCTAGTCTTGAGCATAGTTAGAAAGGGATGTCGCTCTATATAGCACATAGCGACATCCCTTTCTAACTGTACTCAAGTAAAGATCAACACTTAGTTGTCATTCTTTAAAACCACCCTTAGTCGTTTACCCGAATTCTATTGGCACTCGTATTCGAGAATTTGGGCTAATGACCAAGTGTATTCGCGCCATTATACAGGTAATGTAGTAACAAGGTTTAGGAGTTGCCCTTTCTTTAACAATCTGTTATAAGGTTACTAGCAAACCAGTGAACCAAATGTTCACCAAAAAAAAAGTATTTAATTAATTGAGAACTTCGGAGATTTTGTGTGGTTTCGTTTGAAATAGAAATCACGTGATTTCTCGAAAACCGGAAGTGCTACGTTACTCACATCCGGTTTGTAGTCTTATCAGACTATTCTCAACTTATAACTTAAACATTCTCTTTATCTATCTCTTACGGTTTGGCCGCTGAAACAGCACCACGGACGGACGGACGGACTTGTCTAATAGATAAGAGATTGATCTCTCTTCTTCTCCGTAGGTTATACATACATTGATTTGATTTTTTCGGTTTTCCGCTTTGTCACTTTTTACATGGAGATTTCGTTTCGAATTTTAAAATATTCTTCTATTCGGCAAAAATAATAAATTATAAAAAAAAAACATTTGACAGTAAAAATAAAAAAATGTGTGTGTCAGCTCCGACGCACGACCGGAGTTTACACTCTAAAAACGATTGTCTTTGAACAGACACAAAACAAAATCAAGTCCGAAGAAGTCGGTTACAAGTAGAGATACCTCAGAAATCGTCCCATGGTTTCGACTATCATAGGTTCCATGTCACACATTTTATCATCTAACATCAGCGATATTCATCATATATTTTATTATGTATTACTGGAAACACACAATTTCAAAAATATCACGCACTAGTCATCATTTTGTACATATGTATTATATTCCATCTGTACTGAAAATCGCTATTCCAGAGTGCTGGACACTTACCGGCATTTCTCTATATTCTGTTATTTATTTGTTTTCATTAATTTTGCTCCGATTTTATCTATTTTTAGTTTATTAATTTTATTGACATTTGTGACAACTTAATGTTTTTTATCCGTTGCCACGGCTAAAAGTGAATGGTGCGCAGATGAGGTTGCGCACAAAAACGTAACGAGGTCATTAATGTCATTCATCGATAGATTTTACTCCTCACATTTTTCTCATACCGGGCCCCTTATATATGCAAATCGATTCTTAAGGAGTAAACTCCAATAATTACAAATAATCTTTTAAATTACATTTATTTTATAAATAAAAATATTTTTGATAGGATACGAGTATTTCAAAACTACTTATTACATTGACTGAAACACTCAAGAATATAATTTGTACTTTCTGGAAATCATTTCTCTTTTTCGTCTATAGGTACTTAATATTAAAAACAAAATATAGGAACGTGTATTATTTATTTTCTTTGTTAAAAATTCTATTTCATTTATTGACTGCATTTACAAGCACAATTACCAAAATCGATTTGGACAATTGCTCTCAAAGATATTAAAAGTAATTTACTTACTAAATTCAACTTACTTCATTTCAAAACAATCATTTTTAACTATTTTATAAATAAAAAATATATAAATAAATCTAAATTTTACTTTAAACTTCTCTATCTTCTCTATCTAGCTTATTACAATGAATTCTTAACTTAATGTAAATCAGTAGCCCTAAGCCAATTGCAAGTTTCAATGTTTGCAATAGTGATGATGACTAACTTTTTTTCTTCGTATATCAAGTAGATAATCAAAAAGTATTGGGCACATATGATTATTATTTTTTCACATAATCACAACATTGCAGACATAATATTGATTTGAAGTGTCGCATGACGTCACGCCTTGGTACAATTTTTACTGACAAGTGACGTCACGAGCCCAGTCAACCAAAAAATGAGAAAGATAAAATAATAAAATAAATAATAAATAAAAAAAAAACGCGAAAAAGTATGGGAGGGAGGTAGTGATGTCACTTCTAAGTAAAAACTGTACCAAGACGTGATTTCATGCGACATTTCAAATCAATATATCTCTGTAATGTTTTGATAATGCGAATAAAGAAAAAATACGTGTCGCATACTTTCTGACAAGCTACCTAATTGACGAAGAAAAAAAAATGTAGTCATCTCCATTGTAGAATCAATAAAGATACCTAAGGCGTATTCCGCCTAAGTCGTGCAAAACCACAACGGAATGTTTGGGTCCACAAATTCTTCGATAACTCAACACCGAACTGACGACGGATCCACTTCACAAGAAAGTCGTGGAGTCGCCTCAACGTGGATTACATGTCCACTTTTGGAGGGCTCTGGGCGTTTCCAATGACGCTGATGTCCTTTGGCTGGTTGGTCTCTGGATTCACTTTAGATACTGCTGCTGATCCAGGTGGCAAGGTAAACCCAAGTATACGACCTGTGGAAAAAGCATCATACAGGCCTTAACCCCAAGCGCATTTTTGTGGGTCGATAATAACGAATGCGTTATTGCGATATCTGTTTTTAGAGAATTATTAGCGGCCGCCCGCGTCTTCATCCGCGTTAACTTAAGTTATAAAGAATCCCACAGGAACCTGGCATTTTTCCGGGATAAAGTGTCTTTTGTCTCAATCCAGGTCCTGAACTGAATTTGTACCAAATTTCATCCAATTCCGTTAAGTAGTTACTGTGTGATTGAGTAATTTACATACAAACATACAAATATTCACATTTATAATATGAGTAGGATAGTAGGATAATTTTTTTTTGAATAGACACACCAATTAGCCTAGCCCCAAACTAAGCACTATAAGGCTTGTGTTAAGGGATACTAGGGTAACGGATAGAATACAAATACTGTACATATATAAGTATATTTATATAGAAATACATATTAAACATCCATGACTGGAGTACAAATGCTCCTATTCATCACACAAACATCTGCCCCTCCGGGATTCAAACCCGGGACCTCTCGAGTCGGCGACACCATGAAACCCGGCGTACAAACCACTCGGCCAAGGAGGTCGTCGAATATATTGGAACGGCACACTGCTGCGATAATAACGACGTAACAGAAGTAGGGTGCATTATCGCAATAACGCATCTCTTGTTATCGACCGATAAAAACGCGCCTATGGGGATGGCCTTAATGTTAGATGGAATTTTTACGTTATTTCACTTTGAAATTGAATGAAAATGTGTCGTGAAAATAGTGCGTTACGTAATTTATAATGAGTAATCCCATATTTTAAAGTATTTAATTCCTCTGGTGTTTGGTTGGTGGCTGAACCATCCGCTTTTCTGTAGTGCACAGGAACAGTTACTAATAAAATTCAACTTCATCATCATCATCAGCCTACCAATGTCGCCACTGCTGGGGTACAGGCCTTCCCTATGGATGGAATAGGGAGTTTGGGCCATGACCCACCACGCAGGCCCAATGCGGATTGGTGGGTGCTGACGACTGTAGATGCAGCCGGGACCAACGGCTTAACGTGCCTTCCGAAGCACGGAGGAGCTCGACATATTAAATTTTTGGTCAGCCATCCAATGACCGATCACTACGAAAGTTGCTTAACTTCAACGATCGCAGCCGAACGCGCTACCCACTTGCGCCATCGAGCTCCTCTTAATTTAATTTAAAATTCAACTTAACGGAACGAATCAACTATTTTTTTAAATGCACCAGGATAATGTAAGAATCTCACTTGTTGTTGAATGAAAAATGTAAAAACGACTACGACAGATAGAGAATAAAATCTGCACAAACAAGCATATGACCCGATGTAAGGCCGCCGTAGCCTAAATTGCTTGCAATTTGCAATATCAGAGTATTACATATCCAAAGCTGAGGTGCCGTGGAGCACTGTTACCTAACTCACAAAGAAACATGACCCCCTCCAAAGATACCGTACCCGTAGCACAAACCAATAAAGAATTCAAATAGTTTGCGAGTCCGAAATGTCATCGTTGTAAGTGTACAGCCCCTATGCGCGGGCCATCCTGCGCACGTCTGCAGGGTCCCCGCGATACCCCGGAAGACCCTACCGTGGAGCCCCGGCTAGGCCGGGAGGCTGCTAGGTGCGGAGACGCGGAAGAATCCCTTAACGGGGATCCCGCGGCTTCGCGCTAAGCAGCTTAGAGGGTATTCGCAGGGTTTTTTAGCGTATATTATGCCCTAAAGCGCCCGTAAGAGTTACGGGGTCCTCAGTGGGTAGCCACTGCTGGGGTTTGTAAGGCTTGCGGGAGCCATGTGTGAGGTCCGTTCGGTCGTGTGCCTCTTAAAGGCGCCGTCTTCTGTAAACAGAATTTTTTGCCTGCGTAGAAAAAAAAGTAGTGGTAACACTGAGCTACAGACGCTGGGTCTTACCATATTAAGTGATCAGTTACTTACTCTTCTTTTCATTAATCACAGAATAAAATATCGAGCATTAGTTCTTGTGCCATTGCTTTATTTTTCGGTGGTAGGGTTTCGTCAATGAATAAGGTTTCTAATACCAAGGGATAGGAATTAAGTGAAAGTTGACATCAAAAAATATTTTCAGTTTTTGATGTAATCTTTCAATTGATGACACTGTATGAAACAAAACAGGGAGAAAAAAATAGCCCTTGCTGAGTTTCTTGACAGTTCTTCTCAGTACAAGATCTCCCGCCATAGATTTACGAACCGATGGTGTAGCGTTTGACTTTCACAGGAGCTTGTAACAACTTAGACTGAATAAATGAGTTTGAGTTTAAGGGCAGGCAATGAGCGAGTGATAATTTTGTCTCGCGAGTAACACCGGACCATATGCATGTTTGCCACATTTTTAACAGGAATAGAACGTTAAGATTTTTTTTACGAATCAAACAATATTTGAAGGTTGCAAAGTTGCTTTTTTGCACGTGTACTTGTATTGAGTCCTGAGCGTAGCGAGTTTCAAATGTAGGTACGAGACGCAGAAAAGATTTGCTGCCGAGCGAAAAAACGGTAAGTTTTGATTACTTTCTGGAGCGAAACACACAACTTTTAACCTCACTATGGCGACGGAAATTCGGAGTGAAAAAGAGATTGGTGCACTGACGTGAAATAAGCATTGCATTCTCAGTATAGTGGCATATAAATTAGAAAGGTTCGAATTTTAAAAACTCTTTCCATCATAGGAAGCGAAAAGAACTTTTGCGTTCAGTCAGAATGAGAAACGCAAACTTTCCGAGCTTGTGAGTTGAAAAATAAACTAATACCGCTTTTCGGCATTGGCCATTCGCTATTCGGATAGCGGAAGAAGCTGTTTCGAAACCAGCCTGTTTTTTTTTCTAAATAGAATTTAGCCTACAAATATAGTGTTTTCTTATCTTACTAAATTGGGGGATAAAGCCGAGCGCGTCCGTGGGCTTTAGCTCTAGATACCCACACGTGTCCCCTGGGTAGCGCCAAATGCTCGGCACATCACCGGTGGTAGGTTTCGACCGTGGCTGGTAACCACCCTCTAGGCAAAGCCGAGCCGCCAAACGACTTCCATCGTGTTTCGGCTCGATGCCTGGTGTTGCCGTTTTGGGGGGGGAGTCCGAGCAGTTGCGATGTAGAGCTTGCCGGCTTCGGTGCTGCGTGATTGCTGCGCTGGGTGGCTGATCGCGGAGGGTAGCGGGATCCTAAGCACGGTTCTCCGCTGGCCGACCGCAGGTAGTAGGGGGCCCAAGTAGTAGGAAAGCCACCTACGAAAGGCTGCCCCGCCAACTCGCGAAAAATCCCAGGGTGCGCCATCGTGCCGGTTGGCGACCGGATGCGAGGGCCCGATGGACACCTTTGGGGGGGTTAGGGCGTCCCCGCGCGCTCCAGCTCAGTCACTCGTCTGTGTGGCGTCATAACTGCATCGCTTGGCAGTAGCTTAACAGAGTCTCGCTCATCTGTCCCCTTCCTGCCTGTTCACTCTCTTCTTATGAAAAAAATATGAACGTTAAAAGAAAGAAACTGGCGAAACAGCGGATGCACTCCCTCGCACTAAAAGTGCACCTTGCTAACATCCGAGGATTGCACTCAAATATCGATAGTGTCCATCACCACCTTGAGACCGATAAACCACATCTGCTGTTCCTCACGGAGACTCAAATAAGATGCCCGACTGACGCAGCTTACTTGCATTACCCAGGTTACATCCTGGAGCACAATTTTAAATCGCGCGCTGGCACCTGTGTGTATGCTCGTAATGACATCTGCTGCCAACGTCTCCGCAACCTTGAGGATCCCAGTTTCTCTACATTATGGGTGCTGGTGAACACAGGTATAGAGCAAATACTCTATGCCAGTGTTTATCGGTCGCACACAGAGAACATGGAGACAACCAGGTTTTTTCAGTACCTCAGCGCCTCCGCTGAAACAGCCCAGCAAAGGTACCCAAGTGCGCAGCTAGTCGTTCTGGGGGACTTTAACGCACACCACCATGAGTGGTTGTTCCCGTTCCAGAAAACCGACCATGCCGGGAGATTAGCGCACACATTTGCTATGACGCTAGGTCTCTCCCAGCTTGTGAAGGGCGCTACACGTGTACCCGATATTGATGGCCACACACCAAACTGCCTGGACCTTCTGCTGTCAACAGACCCGGACCGTTATCAGGTGGTAATTTCGTCTCCTTTAGGGAGTTCCGACCACTGTTTGGTGAAGTCCGTATCAGTCTACTCTCCAAGCGACCCGGAACCTATCGGAACTAGGCGTGTTTGGCGATATGGTTCAGCAGACTGGGATGAGATGCGGCATTTCTTTGCATCTTATCCTTGGCGTCACACTTGCTTTTCTTCGGACGACCCGACTTGGTGCGCGGATGCCATTGCTGACGTGATGCGTCAGGCTATGGAGTACTTTATTCCATACTCTGACGTACCGCGCCGGTTTAGCGCCCGCCCTTGGTTTGACGCGGACTGTGCTAAAGCAGAGGCGCTTAAGCATTTTGCGTATCGCTCCTGGGCGGATGCTCGAGCCCGCAAATCATCAAATGTTCGAAGTCTGAAGAAGGCCTTTAACAGTGCCGCCAAGTCCTGTAAAGGTGTTATCCGCAAGGCCCGCTTCGATCACATTGGCCGCATAGGAGCCAAATTAGCCTCCTTTCCATCCGGAAGCAAAGCTTTCTGGTCCCTAGCCAAAACAGTCGAAGCCAATTTTTGCCGGTCGTCGCTGCCGCCTTTAATTAAGCCTGATGGATCGCTGGCTCACACCTCCAAAGAGAAGGCTGACTTGTTTGCCTCTATATTTGCGAACAACTCACAGCTAGATGCTGCTGGCGTAAACCCACCTAAGCTTCCTCAGTGTTCTTCTACCATGTTGGAAGTTCGCATCCATCAGAAAGAGGTACTCAAAGCGCTAAGCACTCTAGACGTGAATAAAGCCAGTGGGCCCGATGGCATTCCAGCTATTGTCCTGCGGAATTGTGCCCCTGAGTTGTCTCCTATTCTGACTCGCCTGTATCGCTTATCCCTTGAGATTGGCCAAGTTCCGAAAACCTGGAAGCTTGCCAATGTCCAACCAGTGCCCAAAAAGGGTAGTCGTGCCGACCCTGCCAACTATCGACCTATTGCAATCACCTCCATACTCTGTAAGATTATGGAGCGTGTATTGAACAACCGTCTCCTCGCTTACCTCGAAGATAACGATCTCCTCAGTGACTGCCAATTCGGTTTCCGCCGTGGGCGATCTACTGGGGATCTTCTTGTGTATGCTACCCACTTATGGAGTGAAGCCATAGAGAAACGCGGCGAAGCTCTCGCCGTTTCTCTTGATATTTCTAAGGCTTTTGACAGGGTCTGGCATGCAAGTCTCATTGGCAAGCTTCCATCATATGGAATCGCTGTCGGACTTTGCAACTGGATTGCAGATTTTCTGGGGGGCAGATCGATACGAGTGGTCATTAATGGCACATCGTCGGATCTGCTTGGTATTAATGCCGGTGTCCCCCAGGGATCTGTCCTCTCCGCAACTCTTTTCTTGCTGCACATCAATGATCTGCTCCTAACTCCCAGTATCTTTGGGTATGCAGACGACAGCACAGTTTCGGGGAGATATCTGCCTGATGTGAAGTCTGATGCAGATGTCCGATCATTAGGGGAGGCGATGGTGGAGGGAGTGAATGCAACCCTAGAAGCTGTTTCCCTCTGGGGTGAAGCCAACTTGGTTGGATTCAATCCCTCTAAAACACAGGCCTGTCTCTTCTCGACGAAACGGAGTCCATTCCATCTGACTCCGACTTTCCGAAATGTCTCCGTGCCGGTTAAAGACCATCTCGAGCTCTTGGGTATGGACATCTCATCCAGCCTCAATTTCGGTCGCTACATCGAGTCCATTGCTAAAACCGCTGCCAGAAAACTTGGAATACTTTCTAAGGTCAGGCGATATTTTACATCTGAGCAGCTCCTTAACCTTTACCGAGCCCAAGTTCGCTCCTGCTTGGAGTACTGTTGTCACCTTTGGGACGGATCTGCTCGGTATCAGCTGGATGCACTGGACTCGGTGGAACACCGTGCGAAGAGACTCATAGGCAATGACGCTCTCGTTGAGGCTAATCTTCAGAGCCTTGACCACCGAAGACGTGTAGCTTGCCTTTCGGTGTTTTATCGGTTACATTTCGGAGAGTGTGCGGAGGTATTACATAATTTGATCCCCCCTTCCCCTTTCCACCACCGGACGACCAGGCGCGGCGAGGGTTTCCACCCTTATGTTGTCGAAGTTCCTCCCATTCGCACGAAGCGATTTGCTTCGGCCTTCATTATACGAACGGCTAGGGAGTGGAACTCCTTGCCGAGGTCTGTTTTCCCGGACCAATATAACCTGGACATCTTCAAGGCCAGAGTGAACAGGCATCTTCTAGGCAGGCGTGTACCATCCTAGGCCTCATCATCGCTTTCCATCAGGTGAGATTGTGGTCAAACGCATTGCCTATCTAGCATAAAAAAAATAAAAAAAAATATATATACACGCAAAACTAACATATCATGAATACCAGATTTTTGTTTATACCTTTATAATGTATGATGCCCGTAACGATGACACCACAAACTCCGACGGCGACCAACAGCCACCTCAGCGCACCCACTATTCGTTTGGGCACGAACAATTGGTTCTTCAACATCTTCACGAAGGTTTTATTCAGCGCGATACCCTGATGGGAAAAGGGAAAAGAGTATAAAGTTTTTTTTAAGCATTTAACTGCTAGATGTTTAAATCTAAATATTATGCGGTGCGGGTTCGAGTCCCGTCTGCTGCCTGGTCCACGTGGAATTTTTTCTAGTAATATTTTCTTTAGATTTAAACATAAACCAAAACATTTGACTAGCAGTTAAATGTTTGAAAAAAATATAACTATAATTGCTTCTTCTTCTTTCAAATGTTTAATACTTGTAAAGATATTCATTTGACATTGTAGGTTACCAACAATGCGAAGAGATGGCGCTGTCTTGCAGCCTTAGGCTAGAGAAAATTCCACATGACCGTCAGGGCCGCGGTAGCATAATGGTCACTGCATTTGCCTGGATAGCGAAGGGTGTGGGTTCGAGTCCCGTCTGCTGCCGGATCTGCGTGGATTTTTTTCTAGTAATATTTTCTTTAGATATAAAGTATTTGTGCGGTGTGAAATAATAGATTGCTTACTAAGGGCAAAGAACTATTTTAAAGGCAAGTGCGTTCCAGAGCGGACGAAAGATTCTAGAGTAGAATCTTCAAAGTACGTCGCTCGAGCTTTAAATAAGTGTTGCTTCCGAGGTGGAGACTCTACATTTTATCACCCTCTATGAGACAAGTACCGAGAGAGTACCTATAAATATGCAACTATGAATACGTCAAAAAAGTACGTTTATTTTTTAAAGGATAAGAAATAGGTCAAAAACATTTTTTCTGAAAAAGATTTCACCTTTCTTGCATTTTCCAAAGGATGAAATTTCATAAGCTTTTATACATACACCTACACACACACACACACACACACACACACACACACACACACACACACAAAAACGTTTTTATAAATGTTACAGTTAGTATTGTTAGTGTTTATTGTTACTAGTTATCATGTTCGAGGTGGGGCGCTAATAACTGCGACACAGTCCCTGACTAATGTAGTTATTAACGTTTTACATTGTTCTGTACAAACTATTTAATTGCTAATAAAGATTTTTATTATTAAAAAAAAAAAGATTCGTGGTTAATGTCCTTGGTGATTGAAACTTTTACTAATAATATTCATATTATCACTGAAATCCCTCTAAGTCCTAGGGATTAAAACGCTATTTTAGCTTCTCTTAATCTGTTAAGAGAACAAACTAGCCTTTTCGAATAGATGTGATAAAAAGTGATATATAGTTTGTCTATATTTCGACTCAAAGACATTAAATTACGAAAGACCCTGAGGATTTCACTTGTTTTCACACCGCCGTCAAACAAGTGAAATAATGATGATTAAGTTTTATTTATTAAATTAGTTTTAAATTTCAAAGAGCTATAATTACTGTTCTTCGTTGTTATTAATGACGCGCAATCTATACTTATAATAAATCTGTAGAGATGTCAATTCTGTACATGAAATATATTTTTAAAATAACTATCAGGGGGTGATTAGTGATCGATACTGATGCCAAAAATGCAATCAGTAAAATTTTTGTCTGTCTGTCTGTCTGTCTGTGTGTTTGTTCCTTATAGAAACAAAAACTACTCGACGGATTTTAACGAAACTTGGTACAATTATTCTTCATACTCCTGGGCAGGTTATAGTATACTTTTCATCACGCTACAATCAATAGGAGCAGAGTAGTGAAGGGAAATGTTGGGAAAACGGGAGAAGTTACTCCATTTTTTAAGCTTCCGTCGCGTGTGCAGCCTTAATGATTAAAGTTACATAGAAATCATGTATGACGGAAATATTCTACATAAAATTGTCTAAAAAATATCCCGCAACAGCATATGTCTATCTTTTATGGTTGACTCACAATAACACGTGTAACTCCCGATAGCTTAGCAGTTCGGAGCATTCTGATCATATTTGTTTACTCTTACGTTTATAATACTCGGTATAGAAACACCAAACTTATACATGAAATAAGCCATCGCGCCGTCGCACGTGAATACTGAATCATGCTATAAGGATTATTTTTGTGTAATGGTTGCCGCGTTCAACACGGGTCGCGGCAGCGGTACGGTATCAAAGGTCCGAGAGCGAGCTGTCTAAATCTGTTTTCTGCGTCGCTCCCCCCCTGGGGGACGATCGCTTCCGATGAAGCCTTAGAGGCCTTCCCGGCCAGAGGCAGCCCCTACGGGTGTTTTTTAGTCAGTACGAGTCTGACATAACCTTGCAGCCGGCTGTAGGGTATCCATGAGGATTTCTCATCTGCTCCCCCGCCTGGGAGACCGAAACCGTGCTTATCAGCGCGACTTTTAGTCTTTAAATAGTTTATTTGAATTTCTTTTGTTGTTATTTTGTAAAACAGGTATTAGTTGTTTTGGTAGTGTTTAAATATTCGTTCAAATTAAAAATTATTAAGCGTAGGTACTTTTATTAATTAAAGTAGTTATAAGTATTTATTTTTAAGTGAAGGAGGTATTGGTAGATAGTATTGCACACGCGTTTCAGCTTTATTTTCATTTCTTTTTTGTTGTGAGTTGTATATATTTCTGGTTATAATTCTATAAGAATATTTTAGTTCAAATAGTCACTTAGATTTTATGTGTAAGGTAGCTAAAGTATTCGTTAAAAATATTCCTTCAAAGTGTAATTTAATCATATAGGATGAATGTACGATGGCCCATCGAAAGGCAGTAGAAGCGGTAGACAGAACTTTAAGAGATATAAGACAAAATGATCGACCCATGGGCGGTATCACAGTTTTATTTTGTGGTGATTTCCGACAAACCTTAACGGTAATACCACGGGGAACCCGAGCTGCTGAGGTTAGGGCTTGCCTGAAAAGCTCTTATTTGTGGCGTGATATACAATCGGTGCATTTGACTATAAACATGCGAGTGAGAACTGTAGATAACCCGGATGATCGTGAATTTTCTGATATATTATTAAAGAAAATACCTTCACCAAAGATACCTATCCACTGCTACACCAAGGAAAACTTATTCTGACGCCTGAGTTATGTTGTATAGTGCAATCCCAACAACATCTTACATCGTCAGTTTACGGTGACGTAACAAATATATTAAATAAGAACAATTCTTGGCTATGCGAAAGGTCCATTTTAACTCCTCGCAATGACCAGGCATCTGAGATTAATAATAAAATACTGTTGAATATCCAGGGGGAAAGCAAAGTTTATAGTTCAATAAATAGAATGGCCGATGTACAAGAAGCCACTAATTACCCGATAGAATTTTTAAATTCTTTAAATATGCCCGTACTTCCTTCTCATGAAATTTGTTTAAAAATTGGCATTCCGATTATTCTGCTCCGAAATTTAAGACCACCACAAATTTGCAATGGAACTCGGCTTAAAGTAACCCAGTTGCAACAAAATGTAATCGAGGCTCAAATTTTAATAGGTTGCGGTGCAGGAGAAACCATCTTTATTCCCAGAATTCCCATAATACCAAATAATTTTCCATTCCAATTTAAAAGAACGCAATTCCCAGTATCGGTGTGTTAAGCAATGACAATAAATAAGGCTCAAGGGCAGACCTTTCAGACCAGTAGATCTCGGTGTCAGTTGTTTTTCACATGGTCAGTTATGTCGGTCTTTCCCGGGTTAGCAGTCCTAGATTTTTTTATGTTCACGTTCCGGACGGGACAAATTTCAACGTAGTCTACCCGGAAGCTTTGCGCTGAAGTATTTTCATTCTATATGTACTTAAGACTCATGTGAAAGCGATCTAAACAATATTACCAATACATTAACATAATAACATACAAGGAGTTACACGCTGATGGTCTCGGGGCACAGTGATAATAATAATATTCTGCGGTTCCTTATTGCGATATTTTTAACAGTATTATATTTCCCTACTAAAATACGAAAGTTAATCTGTCTGTCACATCAAAACCACGGAACCCTGAGGAAGGACATATGCTACTTTTTTACGAAAAACGACGATAACGCGGATGAAGTCGCGGGCAAAAGCTAGTTATTCATAAAATTTAACGAATCGGTAATTTTAGGGCGCAGAAATGTAATTTCATAAAACTGTATTTATTGTATAACACCACAAAGGACATAACAGTAAGATTACACTGACAGAGAGACATTACACAATGAGCGGCCTTATTCTTTAATAGCAATCATTTCCAGGCAACCCATGACGGAGAATTAAATAAGTATATAAGAAAAAAAAGGGGGAATGGTGTAAAAGCAATATTTTAAAACAAAATAAAAAAGGTAATAATAATAAGATGCATATTTATATTAAAAATAAAAAAAGAAACAAATAAATAAAGAAAGGAAAGAGGTATTTTCAAAGTGATAGGAAATGCGAGTCCAGAGTGCGACTTATGTATATTGCGAGTTATATTAAGATCTTACTTTGGTCTTACTATATAATATGGCACCGGAAATCTGTTTCTAGTTAAAAACAATTAAATATAACATCATTTATAACATAAAAACATCTCCTTTTGACAAAACGTTGAAAGGATTTCATTAATTCAAATTATTATCATTATGAACCGTCATATCATAAAAACGATAATAAAATTATAGTCCAATTTATTCACCATACAACTCGGTAGTAGAGAGTCCCGTCCGCTGCCTGGTCCTCGTGGATTTTTTTCTAGTACACTTTTCTTTAGATTCAAACATCTAGCAGATAAATGCTTAAAAATAAATAAAAACATAAATATATTGTGGTTGATATAGGTGGTTATGGGTAGTCATGCTCTCTTAAAAGTCTCTTCTGTGGTGTCGTGTGAGGTGGGTCGATACGTTCCCTAAAATATGGTTGAGCGAAGCGATGGCTGGTTCATGCGTCATGCTCGTGAATGGGTGCTGCAAGCGGAGAAGAGTCTGCCCTAACTATATTCAAAGGGGGAACGCTGCCAGTATCTTTGGAACCTTGCCTAAAGGGACTCCTTTTTTATAATGTATTTTATAGTATAAGAGCTGGCAACGTTTTCGAGAATGAATTTTAGGTCGGCTAATTTTTGTATAATTCCCATTCTTATTGACAGTAGGTTGGGATGCGGTACGTCTGGCACCTGGAAGCGGTTGCGTTCAGTTGTGCGCATCCCACCTGTACAGGTAAAAATTGTACATTTTGAAATCATTTTAAGACATTTTTTTTTTATAAATTTCTTATGTCTCGTTAGCAATATAAAACCATAATTGCCAGACACTTTTGTCGTTGCTAACATTGCCCCAGACACAATTTCGATAGTTAAAAAATAATTATTTTTAAACAATTTTAGTATGTCTGTAATTTTGATATAATGTAGTTCAGCAATAAAGAAATATGATAAAAATTTACCAGACAGAAATTCTGTTGCTTAATGAGAATTTAAATTAATTTAAGTTTCGGGTAGAATAGGTGAGTTAGAAGAGTGCGGAAACTAATTCGTCGGTTGTGTGAGAGAGATAGGTGCGACAGAGAGCGGTAGAGGGAGAGAAGTATAGCCACAGCTGCTATTTTCAACATGGCGTCGCCTAGACGAGTATAAACGCTTGTATTTTGTTGTCTCGTGTTTTTTAATAAAAATTTAATTTTTTCGTCATTGCTAACGAAAAAGAAACATGTGTTTTTTGCTCAGATCAAAGTGGTAAAATAATAATATTTAACGAAAAAAAATTGAAAAAGTGTGCAGAAATTTTAAATGCTCGTATTAAGTTCAACCTAAAATATAAAAATGTGAAGTTACCGGACAATGTGAATGCTACTGTTGGATACCATAAACATTGTTATAGTATTTTTACATCATTGATGTCTAAATATCGTAATGAATGTGTATCTAACTTTTCATCGATTACTGATGTTCCTAGTACCTACATCTTGTACTAGCTTATCACAATCAAATTTTTCTATGCATGTACCTGAGACTACTGTCGATAATGATACTCCAATCGTCGAAGTTGACAATCCAATTATTGAGAATAGTGATTTAAATACTCCTGACGTTGATTTAGCTACTGAGTATTTTGATATAATTTATCAAAATAATTTATAAATCATTCCAAAATTTTCTGAAGAATATCATAATTTTTTACTGCTGGAGATTTCTCCGAATCCATTGGTGCAATCCATTGCTTGTCGTGAACTAAATAAAATTTTCGTCATAATAGTAATGTTTTTCAAGTAAAATCATTCAATTATGATTTCCCCATTTTTGGAAATATGTGCACGATAAATAGTCAAGGAATCTAAAGTTCAATATAACTGCAGTAGTAAGTACATCGAAGCTCGGAAAATACGCGAGAAAATCGTATTCCCATTTTTTCGGAGATAACCCATTTTTTCTCTCAATTGCCTCAAAAAGTGTAAAAAATTGGAAATATTCGGAAGATTCGGAGAAATTTTGAGAAATTTCGGAGAAAAATTTCCACTATGGATACCAATTCTACCCCCTCTGAGCGCCGCACTCTTATAATTAACCTATTCTCTCCGAAACTTAAATTGACTTGAATTCTTATTAAGTAACGGAATTTCTGTCTGGCAAATTTTTCTCATATTTTTTTATTGCTGAACTACATTATATTCAAGTTACAGACATACTAAAATTGTTTAAAAATAATTATTTTTTATTTTTTGAAATTGTGTCTGGGGCAAGGTTAGCAACGACAAAAATGTCTGGCAATTATAAATTTATATTGCTAACGAGACACAAAAAATTAAAAAAAAAAAAAATTGTCTTGAAATGATTTCAAAATGCACAATTCTTACCTGTACAGGTGGGATGCGCGCCACTGAACGCAACGGCTTCTGGGTGCCAGACGTACCGCATCCCAACCCACTGTCAATAAGAATGGGAATTATACAAAAATTAGCCGACCTAAAATGAACTTTTTCGTGACGTCGCTAGCTCTCCTACTATTAGTTATTATATATTTTAAGGTTTTTTAGTTATAAATATCTCTTTAATCTTAAACATAGATTTAAATGTTTAATTACACCTATAATAAATAACTCTATTTGTATTTATATTGTGTGACACAGCAATCAAAATGCAGGTGAACAATTAATGTATAATTTCACATTAAGTAATGAAAGGCGACTTCATGAATCATCTCTGAAGTCATTTTTCAACTTGACGATTCTGTAAATGATAAAACAGGGAGAAAAAACAGCCCTTGTTGAGTTTCTTGCCGGTTCTTCTAAGTACAAGGTCTCCCGTCGTAGATTTACGAACCGATGGCGTAGCTTCTAGACATTCAAATGTGCTTGTAACAGCCTAAACTGAATAAATGATTTTGATTATGATTTGATTATCATTTTATGTCATTATCATTTAAGTAAAGTATAAAAGGTCAAGGGAAAATATCACTTTTGATATAATTTTTACCAATATTAAAATTGCTGTAACTTTTTCTAATTTATCCTTATCACCGTTCAGAATTAATCAACCAATCACATTTACTTGTAGCTTTTAGGGATTTACCAGCATCATTTATAAAATAAATGGAAAAGATTCAAGTAAAAATTAAAATATAAAACTGTACGTCTGGCTGTCCGTTTGAAAAAAATAAACTGTTTAATTTATTTTGAGAAGATCAAAGTGAATGGTTTCTTATGAATGTTAAATACCTACGGAATTTTCTGTGGCATTTTAAACAAAAATGACAATATTAGTTTTCACTTCAAGGAGTTGTACAGGTCTATGAATGATGGCGGTTTAATTTAATAACATTAACTTTCAATAGACGGAGTTCATAAAAGCTCCTTACCTCTTCAATCCAGAACAAAGGCGTCATTGTACCGGGAAGATCTTTAAATAGATCCAGTTTATCAATTTGTTGAAGTACTAAGCTGAACATCATTCTCTGGTTCGCCACCATTGGAGTACCAGAAATCTGTAAAAGAAACATACTTAACTAGTTCAAAAAGTTTCAGACTTCAATCAGTCCAGCCGATAAGAAGATTTATATGCTGTATATTATACAGTCTTGAACGCATGTAGTCCCGCTGCCGAAATTTCGTTAATTTCGTTAAAACTTTATGGCGGGTGTGAATGTAGGCACAGTTATCGACAGAACTGAAATCTGCGCATCGTCACGCTCGCTGCTAACACTTTACAGCCTTCATATAGTTTGAATTGCACTGTACAAGTATATTATTATAGACAGATGTTATATTAAAATAATAGTACCCAAACAAAAAAATAATGGTTTGGTTTTATAAAACCATGGAGCAAAGTTGAACTTTTTAAATGTTTTACATCGTCTCATTTTCTTTATTAAGTTGATGTTACTGTGGCTTATGAAAAGTGTAGAATAAAACAAAGTCCTTCCTCGACTGGGAATCGAACCCGGATCGCCCGCGTGGCCTTTGAAGGATCTGTAATAATTATCACAGCAGTTCCTTTCCGGAGAAATTTTATTCCACGGTCGGTAAAATTATGGAATGACCTCTCCTCCGTAGTGTTCCCTCAGCACTATACCATGTTCCGCTTCACTCCTCTAGGCTTAAATAGAGTGTTCCACGAAAGGCAGCGGCATGCTTGTGGCACTGGCATTGCTGATGTCCATGGGCGACAGTGGCCACTTAACATCAGGTGGCCCATCCGCTCGTCTGCCTTCGATGGCAATAAAAAAAAATAGAACTTGTTTATTGGAACAACGAGAAATGAGACTTTTTAGATAAATAGAAAGTTGAGAGTTATATAAAGTTTTTACCATCAAGCTTTCTACCACTGAACCAACAATGCTCGTTGATGTGAGTGTATGTCTGAATTTTAATAACAATTTATAATGTAATGCGACATGTTAAACACGAACGATAAAATTTGTAACAATGTAAGAAAAGTTTAGCTTTCAACAAATACTCACTCACATAAAAAATAAATAAAAAAAAACTCACTGGTTCAAAGTCAATGTCGATTCCGTGTACATTGACGTCGGGGTTGAGTCCCTTAACCTTCTTCTGGACTTCAGGGTCACAGTCTAAATAGTGAGGCAGCGACGCATACATGGGGGCGTTCATGCATTTCATCAGGTCCATTGTGCCCTTGGGAGGGCACTTCTCAGGAGCTTCACAGAAGCACTGGAGATCAGGGTCGTTGGCCAAGTCTCCTATGGTGACGACGTAGCGATTCGTCTTGATCCCTTTGTACGAAGTCTTCTTTTGGTACAACGCTTTGAAGGATCTGTAATAATCATTCAACTGTTTTTGTTGTTTCCGGAGGATTTTTATTCCACTGACGGAAAAATTATGGAATCAGAAATCAGAAATCAGAAATCAATATATCTTTATTTAAATTGGATGTATAGTACAACTATTTTGAATCGTCCAAAAAATTTTTTTCCCTACCACTCGTTATGGACATATTTTTTAGCTGCGGAGAAAAATGAGCGAAAAAAACTCCACAACATTAAAAGTCTAATGTAACAACATTTACAAATCATTATGTTGTTACAACGTCAATACAATTATGATTTATTTAATATAGAAAACCTGTTGGAATGATTGGAACAGTTCAAACCCAAGCATTTTTGTCTGTAATATAATCAGACACTTTGTAATAAGCTTTTTTAACAAGTATTTTTTTTATAATATCTTTAAATTTATTTATGGCTAACTCTTGGATATTGCTTGGGACTTTATTGTATAAGCGAACACAAAGACCTCTAAAATGAATTATTAATTTTGTGAAGCCTAGTAGCAGGTAAAGTTAGTTTATTTTTGTTTCTTGTATTAATTGTGTGAACATCACTGTTTTTAAGAAACAAATTAATATTTTTTCTTACAAGTAATAAATTTTCGTATATGTATTGTGATGCGACCGTCATTATTCCAAATTCTTTAAACTTATCTCTTAATGATTCTTTAACTTTAAGATTATAAATTGATCGAATAGCTCTCTTCTGCAGCACAAAAATAGTTTGAATGTCGGCGGCATTTCCCCACAATAAAATTCATTACACTCACACAGACATTACACTATGGAAATAACTAAAGTACACTAATCTGGCCGTATTTACATCCGTTAACTGGCGTATCTTCATTACGGCATATGCTGCAGAGCTAAGTCTATTTGACAATTTATCAATATGTGGGCCCCATTGAAGCTTAGAATCTAAAGTTATCCCTAAGAATACTGTGGTGTCTACAAGGCCCACATTCCTATCCTTTACATTCACACTGGTTTTTACCTGTTTTACATTAGGTAATACAAATTTCATACATTTCGTTTTTCCTTCATTAAGTAATAAATTGTTAACATTGAACCAGTGGACTACCTTAGAGATACAATTGTTCACGTCGTCAATAACTTTTTCACTGCGTTTGAGTTTAAATAAAAGTGATGTATCATCCGCAAACAATACTATCTCATGGTTATCTCTTACATAGTAAGGTAAGTCATTAATATAAATTTAAAATAAGAAAGGACCTAGGATTGAGCCCTGCGGAACACCCATCTTAACCGGCGAACCCGGAGAATTATTACCATTAATGTCAACCCTCTGAATCCTATCCCTCAGGTATGATGCAATAAGATCCAGATCAGTATCTCTAAATCCATAGTGGTGGTATCTCTAAATCCATCGGATGAGCTCCATGGTGTTCTCTCAGCACTATAAAATGGTCCTCTTCAAGAGAGGCTTCAAAAGTGTGTTCCATGAAAGGCAGCGGCATGCTTGTGGCACTGGCATTGCTGATGTCCATGGGCGACGGTGGCCACTTAACATCAGTGTGGCCCATCCGCTCATCTGCCTTCGATGGCAATAAAAAAAAAATAGAACTTGTTTATTGGAACAACGAGAAATGAAACTTTTTAGATAACCAGAAAGTTGAGAGTTAAATAAGTTAATTACGATATAATTTTACCATCAAACTTTTCTGTATCAGACTAATTAACCGAAAAAGGGGTGGACAGCATAGGCATTCTGTAAGATATATTGTCACTTATGGTCGCATTTATTTGGATTTCTGAAAAATGTTACATGTCTTATACTAGCTGTTTCTACAGACAAAGCGACATTTTGCCGTGTAATGGCGTAATGAATATCAAACTATGTCTAAAATGCCAGCGACAAATACAGCATGCGGTAACACGTTATAAGTCAATCAGTACAACAAATCTATATATATAAAACTCAAAGGTGACTGACTGACTGACATAGTGATCTCCAGCCCAAACCACTGGACGGATCGGGCTGAAATTTGGCATGCAGGTAGATGTTATGACGTAGGCATCCGCTAAGAAAGGATTTTGATCAATTCTATCCCCAAGGGGATAAAATAGGGAATGAAAGTTTGTATGAAACTTTGTCAATTTTAAACCGATCGGGCTGAAACTGTGCATGCAGGTATAAGAAGAATCATAGATGAATGTCATTGTGTATAATACAAGCCTGAGAACAAAAACTGTAGTCTACACTTGAGCTCTACATCGAAGCGTAGCTAGGGCGGACCGCTAGTATTATATATGGTACTGTACATATAGCATCCTAAAAGCGAAGCAGGAAAACATTAATGTAAAACATTTAATATACAATTCTAAACTTTTTTCACTCAGTGAAGCAATAAAAATGCAAACCCAAACAACGTTTCGTGCATCCACACGGTATCTATCCACTATATTATTTTACCTAAACATGTTCAAGAATAAACAAGTATGTTGTGCATTTCGGTACGCTCGCTCCCCTGATTCTCAAGATACATTGTAGCTTATTCAATAGGGCCTTCCACGGTTGTAGTATCCTATTCAACGTTTTCCTACCCAACCCCATTAGCATAATTTTTATTATTCCCTTTCAATTCGCTGGCTTTGGGTCTATCAAATATTTTGATACATATATTAATGCCTTTGTGTCTGAAGATAAAAAAAGGGCCGGGCCTTATTTGAATCCTCGTTGAAACGCAACAGAAACCTTAAAACCGTAAAACACACGAAGGGTTCCACGCCATACTAAAAGGTTTAAAATGTAAAATACAGCGATGGTTAAAGTTAACCAAAATGTCATGAAATCACGTATAATTTCTAACTTAATTCAAATTTTTGTCAAAGTATTATCTGTCCAGCTTTCTACTATATTTCATGAAATACAGAAAGACAGCAAACAAAATGTAATAAAATACTAAGTGCCAGTCAGTACTAAATTTGTATAATTAAATATTAAATTTAAATAAATTATCACACATTTTGGCTTGGAGCAAGCAGAAGGATTCTCCAACTCTTTTGTTTGTCAAGTTCTAATTGATACTGATACTGATAAGCCGAGCAGTCGGCTGTTAGTTTAGTAAAGTCTGGCATATTTCCTTATGCACAGTATGCCAAATGACCGATAGTTTGATTCGAGTCATCATTTTTGATACTTTTATCGATAGATATTTAATCGTCAAATACGCTTGCCATATATAGAGCTTTATCATACATAGCTCTATACTCATTCACGACTAAAACTATGGCACAATATACACAAGAGCAGTAGCGTAACTCAGCCGTTTTCTTGAAATAGGTACCTATGAGTGAGCGCAGCCCTAGGGTTGGTACCTACAAAATGTAAAACATATTTGTGTAGATTTTTATTGTATGTGTGTGTTACTATTGCCACGTTACGGAATCGAAACGGAGGCAGACGGCGCGGGCGGCTCGGCGCAGCTAACTTAACTGGGCCAACGACCAATCTCGGCGGCGCGCAACGTGGTACTGCGTAGATTTGTCTTGCCAAGATTGGTTAGCGGCCGCGTAAATGACGTTTGTCTGTGTGCGTGCGTCGATTCGGGCGCTAGTATGAAGTCGGAGTACTCTTGTATGTATTGTGACTATGGGTCGGAAAAGGTTAGTGCACATTTTCAGTGCGAGGATCAACACTGTATCGTATCATATTTTACTTCGCTGTCTGCCAGCCATCAATCGCCATACAACTACGACCGATTGACTAAGTAATGTCAATGTCTTGCTTACGGCTTTGCTGAAGCTGAGAATATAGCTTGGCGTCAGTTGATGGACAAATATCCACCGACTTTCAATTAGTTGGTAGAAATAATGTAAGGGGTGGATGGCTAATTTAAGCAGGAGTAAAAATATTAAGTGGACCACGCATTATAACTCCAAGCAGGCCTTGCCAGAATATCAGCGCTGGTCACAATGTCGCATCAGATAATGTTGAGACAGGGTCCCGATTAGCCTTTACTATACAAGTACCTTATAATATGTTGTGTTTTTTAAGGGTTGATAAAAAATATTTTCTTTCTTTCTTTCTTTATGGTTATTTAATATAAGGTTACGTTTTGGATAAGTGTGCAATGTAGCATGAAATTTCATACGAATAATACTAAATGGCTTTATTTGAAGCAGTAATGCAGTTTCTTTCTATTTCCTACTTAGGTATATGTGCCACAACCTTGACAAGCATAAGTGGGTGCGATACGTGTTCCAAATTCAAACAGATGGAGCCACTTTAGAAATACAGGCTTATTTTCTATAGTAAAGCAGCCACTTAGAATAGAAATGAAGGATTTTAGGCAAAGTAAAAAGTGTTTTGCTCCTTTACATTTGAATTATGAATAATAGTGAAACGTGATCTGATATCATTGAATAGTATTTGTAGGAATACAAAAAGGTTATGTACATTGTCTCCGATGAACTTAGATCACACGTAACTTTTCTTTCAAAGAAAAATGTGCTGCGATGAAAGAACCCGGGCAAGTGCGTATAGAACTCGCACAGATAAGGGTTCCGCAGTATCATACAAGGTTTGATTTTCGGTATACAGCGATTTTCAAACTTCCGAAAAATATGTTTTATCATATAAACAGGGTAGAAAACAATGGACGAAGCGACCGCCAGAGTCTTTAGATTTGCGATACTGGATTATGACTCGCACCGTTGCTTATACTGACCTTATAGCGCTGGAATCTTCCAGATCGCAGCAAACTTCTTTTCAAACCAACCTAAAGTTGGTTCACACAGGTTCAGATCGGACTAGAAGTTTAGCGGGATCTGTACTCATAGGCAGAAACACAACATAACCAAAATGTAGTGTTATTACACTAAAATCTTTTGTAAGGTAGAGGGTTTTTGAAAGGGCGATTTATGATTTTTTGTTTATGCATCGTTGTTGCTGTAGTAGGTAATCCACACGACAAATTTCAATCGATTACATATTTGCGACGACAATTGTTTATAGAAAACAACAAGCTACCGGACAGATGGATAAAAGAGGTTAAGTAAAAGGGCTGTTTTTCACTCTATGGATACGGATCCCTAAAAATGCTATAATTTGACCCTTGCGTGGGAATTGAGCCACTATATTCCGATGATAGCAAGTTATTATTGTTTGAAATATATAACGTTAATAATTATGAATTTATTATTATAATCATTTATCTAATATGTCCTTTTTTAAGTTAACTTTGTATGTTTTTTTATATAATTTTTAAATATCTATCCAATCCTTTTAACGGTTCAGGTAATTTTTATAGGACATACCACAAATTCAATTATTTTAAAACTAATAAAAAAGAAGGATTTTTTTTAAATAAATGTTTTACCTACGTTTGGTAGTTATCGAGTATGTTTGAACCACCTTTGTGTCGCTGTAATGCCTGTCACATAGATCATGCCGTTTACTGCTTAGGTTGGAACAAAAATATAAAACCCAAAAATAGTGTACTGTTTGTGATGTGATGAGTTCCGCAAAACTCCACAAAATAGTACTCATTAAATCTTCACCACTTTTCATTAAATATAAGTATATTGAAGCGTCTCCACATATAAAGAAACATATTTATTGACCTACATAAATAAAGAAAACATTTAAGCAAAATAATCATCGAAATTAATTCCTGTTTCGCGGAATAATCCCACAACAAACAGTACATTGGAAATGAGGTATATTTTAATTGAAAACGTATAAATCTTTGATGTTAAATCTTACTTAGGCTTAGGCGTCAAAAAACTATTTCCGATTTCACAGAATTTTTTCGTTAAAATATACAGAAGTTACTTAATTAATATTTGAACCATCAAAATAGGATGAAATATGTTATTTTATTGCCTTTGAAGGCAGACGAGCGGACGGGCCACCTTATGTTAAATGGTCATCGTCGCGCATGGACATCAGCAATGCCAGTGACACAGCCGTGCCACTGATTTCCGTGGAACACTATATTTAAGCCTCTTTTGAAGAAGACCATGTTATAGTACTCAGGGAACACCGTGGTGGGAAGATCATTCCATAATTTCTTCGACCGTGGAATAAAAGATCCCTCCAAATGAGCAGTATAAAAGAACACACAAAAGTTAAGGTAGAGGCATCTAAGATGAACTTAAACTGACCTGCACATATCAGTCGAGAAGGACTCCAGTCGATCGTTTTCCGTTAAAAATGGCGGGAAAACTGTGCCGTCGGTACCCTCGTACATATTGCAGCTGTCCCTCCATATACTTTGCTCCGGGTTGCCGTCAACGGCCACCACCTGACCGACGTCCATTACGTTCTTGATGCCCCTCTTTACGGTGATAACGTGAGGATCGATGGTATCGTTGCGCTGGCGGGCAGAAATGAGCTTTACTTCCAACATATAAGAAATAAACTCGAGCTTGCGAGCAAGGGAAACATTCAGAAACTTGGTCCTCTTCATAGCACCTAATGAATGAAGGGAAGTGGATATTGAAAATTTATAAAGGATTCCAGATTTGAATTGTTCTAAATTCAAAAGACATTCTCACCCTGCCTTAGCAAATTTAGGTAGCTGTCAAAACGCTGGCGTGAAAGCGACCAACTATCGGCTCGCTCAATAAACGTACCATAGATAATAGATATACATTCCGTGTAAACAAAGGAGATGCATATTATATTAATATTTGATCGCTGACTGTTTATACCGTCGGCGAGAAGTCTCTCCACTAGTTTGTCGCCGAGCGATCTGAGCTGTCAAGGATAATACTCACTCATCGATATCGCTTATCTCAATACACACGCGCGTGCATGTGCGCGTGAGTGTCCGTCACAATCTAAATACTGGTAATTATCGCAAAATATATACTTAGAATTATCATAAATACCAAATTGGTGTTGGTTCTTAGGCCAATTTTAACAATGTCCTTTAATGTCATATAAGAACAGGTGTTGTCTTTCTCTATTGTTGTAGCAAAAAAAAAAGAAACCATCATAAGTCACACTTAAAAATTAATTGACCACTTTAAGTGCGGCCGTTGGTGTAGAAGTAAGAAAACACTTTAAGAATCTAGATCTTACCATTCCAAACAGGGAAAACCTAAATTGGTTGTTTGGTTCAATAATCAAGCCGCTAGCTTCTTTTTTGATCGCAGTGCATACAGCCTTCGGTGCGAACTCAGTCCTTGCGCAGTTTATGATAGTGCCTCTGAACATGATGTCCAGTGCCTTCACGTTCATGAACACGTGTTGCGGTCCGTCAAATATGCCGTTGAACGCCTTCCCGATCATATTCAACATAGCTGGCTTCTCCTTGTTCACAACTGTTGCTATTGACTAGAAAAGTTTAAATAAGTAATTAATTATTTCTGTAATTTCATTCCTACAGTGCTGTTTTGTAAGAAGACACTCACTTTTCACCGAGGAATTCACTGGTGTGATTTGAACTTTAATTCGGGTTCTAACTTTAAAATACACCGCCGATGCAAGCAAGCATATGAAAAGTGAGTTTGTGCTTACAGAATAGCAGGCCTGATGTAGGTGTAACGCAGTGAAAGATAATTTCCTAAACGTTCATCTCTCAAATCAAAGGTAAAAATCAAAGTATGAATGAATTCATATTTTCCTATTGCCACTTCGAAAATGGTTTAGCATCTATCTTGCTTTCTAGACACATAATTTTATGTTTAAAACCAGTCGGGAGACTGGAATAAAAAATAGGTAACTGTTATAATCCAAGTATTGGACAATTTTTTTATGTATCCCGTCTGGTTTTTACCTGAGACAAGTTAATTTTATCCTGTAAAACTTTTCTTTATACCTTTTTTACGAGTGTATATTAATTGAAGTCACGAAATTGGTAATACTTCTTTCAAAATCATTCCATATAAATGCTTAAGTAAGCATGGAAAAGAACAATGATCTAATTATCATATTAACATATTCACCACACACAATATAAATCCGGGATAAAAACTACAAGTTTAATTTACTTACCACCATAAGAATATGAGGCATGGTGATAATTTCTTCGCCCGTCAGTCCAGGACCCGATAGTTCTGGTCTGAAGTAAAACACATCCCTTTTCTTGTATGTGATTGTGTCGTCTTCCTCGTGGTCTTCAACCTCTAACTTTTCTTTCCATTCACTAAACAATCATATAATTTTTATAACATAATTATACAACACCTATGATATTTTTACATTGCATAGGCTACACATATTGTATTTAGGCCGTCTTAAGAAAACAGTTCGTTAGAGCCATCTGGCACCGCCTCGTCGCATAACGTCCACTCATGGTCGACGAGCAAACGCAGGTGGACGCCACGTTATCAACCAGCTGAAGACGGGTGGACCACGGGTGGACGCCGCGCCGCCGTGTAGTTGACGCCGTTGTTGGTCAGTGTATCCACCCGGATTGCGGAGGGTCTGGGTTCGAGTCCCGTCTGCTGCCTGGAGCGCGTGGATTTTTTTCTGGTAACATTTTCTTTAGATTTAAATAATATAAATTTCAACTTAATTTTAATTATTTATTTGATACAAGAACAAAATCCATTGCAAATTGTTATATTAATATAGGCATTACAATAATTAAGTCCCAAAAGGTGTCCAAGTCTCACTGGATCATTGCTTTTTGGAGTAAAATGCAAACTGCAAATCTTGGCTGTTTGATATTTTTTTTGTAATCTATTATACCAAATGGATTTGGATGGATGGATTACAAATTACTAATAAAATATAAGATTATTAAAATGATATTATAAAATATGTTCAGTCTACCATTTCAACATTGGTTTTATTGTAGGCATAAAGTTCATAGTTATGATCTTTACTAAAAATTAATTACTTTAGTTATTATTTCATTTTATATGATGTTTAAATCTAAAGAAAATTTTATTAAGAAAAACTCCACGCGGACCAGGCAGCAAACGGGACTCGAACCCTCGAAATGAGTGACGCATACCCAACCGCCCTGAGAGAGCCGCGAGCATATGTGGGACTCCTCGCCTCTCCTCTCACTCGAGAGGAGGGAGCCCTACCCACTAAAAACTTGACGACGCCCTTCAACTCACCGAAGGGCCGTGATCTCGTCGGGCGGAAGATCCCCCCATCAGGTGGTACCCCGCCCAGCGAAGCAAAGGCACTGGGTGGAGACATGGGAACCCTTTCGAATACTACCGCGAGACACTCACTGGTGGAGACCAGTGAGTGCCGACTGGAATGGACCCACCCAACTTGGGGATGCCCCGTGGCATCAGGATCATCCTCATCCATCACCAGAGGCCTGTGCAATGCAGGGTCCGGACCTCCCAAGTCCGGACTCCGCTGGTCTCCGTTGGTGATGACTACGAGCCGGTCAAACCGCCGTCTCCTGGCACCCACCTTCCGGTGCCGGCGCCGGAAAGAGTTCGCGTGTACGTGTGCCTCACGGACCCTTCGGTAGCCTCCTTTTGCGAGTTAACTTCCTCACAAAAGGAGACTACTGCCCTCCAGGACCTGTCGCTGCCCAGTATAATTCTGACAATGCTGGGTAGGGAGAGGTCCTGCCCTACTGCCGCAACCAGAGCGCGACGCTGCCGCGACCACGCCGGACGCTCCTCAAGGGTGTGACGAGCCGTGTCCACCGCAGCGCCGCACTCATGGCACGACGGGGTCTCCTCTCTCTCGATCCAGTGCAGGTACTGTTCAAAGCATCCATGCCTGAACAGCACCTGGACTAGTTAAAAAGTTAGCGACCCAAATCCCCTACCCATCCACTCTTCCAAGACCGGGTGTATGGCCTCCAAGGTTCTGGTGCCCCATCTGGAGTTCGCTAAATGGATCAACCATGGCTCATAGCGCATGGTTTTTTTTTGATAATACAGGTACATTGTAATTAATATTTTTGTCGTTTAGACTATTTTCGTTTTGAAAACTCTTGAGTCGACATTGCAGGATGTCCCTAATATTTTAAAGGTTAATCCACATATTAATTAAATATAAATTATGTTCATAAAGAAGAAACTTTGGCTTTAGGAAAAGTTAATAAGAGCTACGTTATCTATTATTATAACTTTGTAGTTTAGTAAAGTGACAAATAATTAACTACTGTTTGTCTGAACTGAAAATATACTTTTAGTCAAGACAATTAATATTTTATACAGTTAATCATAACTTCGGGAGTTGTTGAATAAACTTCCAATAAATTATGAGGTGTTATGACGAAGCTAAATATAGTACTATCGCTCCTGCTTTAAATATTTGAACATATTAAATTATCATAGCTATTAACGGGGTTGTTACCATGTACCTTGTTTTTTATGAGTCTCCGATATTTCGGCACCGTTACTACTCCGTGATCGTGGCGCTTGCAACAGTGCCGAAATCCTAAACTCAAATTTTTTCGTATCGTAGGCATTTTACTGAAAATTTTAGACACGATAGATGTGTGTGGGATTTTGGTTTCTATACTAAGATTTTTATACAAAATGAAACGCTTTAATAATAAGGGATAATGCAGGCCAGGTTAATATCTTCCTTGGCTGGGATTCGAACGCGGGCCGACCGCGTCGCAAGCGTATTTTCGATAAGTGAACCACCAATGCTGTTGATACGGTCTGATTTTTTGAAATATCTATTGAAATGCATGTAGCATTACATGCTAGAGATGAATAAAAAAAAATATTGCAATGTAATAAAAGTTTCGCTTTAAAACCTAACTACATGACGTATCCATTCGAAATATGTTACGTATAAAATGCGGATGAGGTTGCAAGCAAAAGTTAGTGTTTTAAATTATGAAGCGTTTGAAATAGCGCAACCTAGTTATTAATTACACTGAAACGAAACATAAGGAATACGTACTCGAAATGGTACGGCCCAATCTCTTTGACGATGGGCACACCTCCCTTTTGTATTTCTTCGACGTTGGTGTAATTAAACAGGAACACTTTGAAGCTGAGGGCGAAAGGGATCTTTTCCCACATGCCCCGGACGTCCGTTTTCTTCGACAATGCCATTTCCTGATAAGTACCAAAATGCAATATCATTTAGACGTTCATTTCGAATGCCGTTTTATCAAAAAACAAATGAAAACTATGATCATGATTTTAATTTAATAATAATGTCATATATAATCGACCTCCGTGGCCGAGTGGTTTATACGCCGGGTTTCATGGTGTCGCCGACTCGAGAGGTCCCGGGTTCGAATCCCGGTGGGGGCAGATGTTTGTGTGATGAATACGAGCATTTGTACTCCAGTCATGGATGTTTAATATGTATTTCTATATAAATATACTTATATATGTACAGTATATGTATTCTGTCCGTTACCCTATCATCCCATAACACAAGCCTTACAGTGCTTACTTTGGGGCTAGGCTAATTGGTGTGAGTGTTGGAAATATTTATTTATTTATTTATAATCACATCACAGCATATAAGTAATTTGGCATAGAAAACACTTTCGTGACCACGTTAATGACACGCAAGAAAAGTGTTAGGACGAATGTCGACTCTCGTACTAGCTGCTGGTATCGATAATCGTTCTAACTAATCCTTAATTAGATTGAGTAAACAGATAATTTAATATCTAGTATAAATTGGCGGACCTTAAGGCAGAGTACTATAAATTTAGTAACGTTGAAATTCAAAATGATTTATTCAGTTTAGGCTGTTACAAGCACTCATGAATGTCTAGAAGTTACGCCATCGGTTCGTAAATCTACAGTGGGAGAAGTTGTAGTTAGAAAAACTCGGCAAGGGCTGTTTTTGCTCCCTATCACAGAGAGTGTGTGTCAAGTTAAAAAACCGGACAAGTGCGTGTCGTGGCACGCGCAGTGTAGGGTTCCGTAGTTGCCTGTCGTTACCACAATATATTTGAGGAGGAGTCTTTATTTTTTATATCGAAAATTAGAAAAACCAATTATGGTAACCGCCGATTTTTTTTGTTTCCTCCCGGGCGGGGAAGCGGGTGTGAAGGAGGTTCAATCGAAAAATGGTTTTAGGAACCCTTGGCCTGGCGAAACGAGCGCCTGATTGATTGATTGCGGCGCTCGGCGGTAGGGACCTCTCGTTGCCAAGCATGGTTAGAGCCATGCTTGGTAGCGAGAGAGCCTGGAAGGCTGCCGCCTCCTTCTACGAATCGGTGATGACACGGAAAGAGGCCGCGGAGAGGGAGCGGGCGCTGTATCACGCGCCGGCTGAGTCCCACACACGCCGTGAGCCTCGCCAGCGCACGGAACGCTCCGTCAAGGGATTTCTCATCGTTAAAAAAAAGGAACCCTTAAGTAATTTTAAAGGACCTATTCAACGATATCCCAATGGTATAGATGATGAAAAAATAATCATCCCCAGGTAACAGTTGTAGGGAAGCTACCCTAAAAAATATTTTCAAAATTTTATTCTACCATTTTGTTGGCGTGATGGATATACATATTTCCACAAAATTATAGCTCTCTAGTGCAAATAGTCTCTAAGCAAAACCGGGGAAAGATAGACAGACATGAAGAAGCTATAAGGGTTCATGTCAGCACTACACAACTCTAAAAATGATTTCAGAGATGATTGAATGAAGTCATCTTTTATTACATTATGTGAAATTATACATTACATTGTTCACCTGCATTTTGATTGCTGTGTCATACAGTATAAATATAAATAATTAGGTATACCTAGATAACATAATATTCAATAGCAAAGTAGTTAGAGCAGACTTATCTCCGCTGGCAGCACCCGTTTACGAGCATGACGCATGAACCAGCTATCACTTCGCTCAACCATATTTTAGAAACGTTACGATCTGCCTCACATATAACCATGACTACCCATCCCATTTAATACTAGAGTGCGAATCAAAGATTCCACTTTATGTCAGTTAGCCGCGGGCACAACTACGCGTAGATAGAGTCAGGTGGAAACCTCACCCGTATCAAAATTTTGATATTAAATGTCTAATACCTACAAGCTTGAGCAATTATAGTAATTTATGTTATTTACGGGATTGTTACTATGTGCCTTGATTTTTAGGAGATTCGGATAATTCGTGAACATGGCGCTTGCAACAGTGCCGAAATATTTGAAAGTCGTGAAAAACAAGGTCATCACTTATACAATAAAGTCCCAAGCAATATCCAAGAGTTAGCCATAAATAAATTTAAAGATATTATAAAAAAACATTTATTAAAAAAGCTTAGTACAAAGTGGTTGATTATATTACAGACAAAAATGCTTGGGTTTGAACTGTTCCAATCATTCCAACAGGTTTTCTATATTAAATAAATCATAATTGTATTGACGTTGTAACAACATAATGATTTGTTAATGTTGTTACATTAGACTTTTAATGTTGTGGAGTTTTTTTCGCTCGTTTTTCTCCGCAGCTAATAAATATGTCCTTAACGAGTGGTAGGGAAAAAAAATTTTTGGACGATTCAAAAGAGTTGTACTATACATCCAATTTGAATAAAGATATATTGATTTCTGATTTCTGATCATCATCATCATCAGCCTATTAATGTCCCCACTGCTGTGGCACAGGCCTTTCCAGTGGATGGAATAGGGAATCTCCCTGCCATGACCCATCACGCGGGACCAGTGCGGCTTGGTGGGTGCTAACGACTGCAGATGCAGCCGGGACCAACGGCTTAACGTGCCCTCCGAAGCACGGAGGAACTCGAGATAGAAGATTTTTGGTCACCCATCCCATGAACGACCACTGCGAAAGTTGCTTAACTTCAACGATCGCAGCTGAATGTGCTAACCACCTGCGCCATCGAGCTCCTCAAGGTACATGGTAACAATCTCGTAAATAACATAAATTACTATAATGTTAGTGACTATGAAATTTTAAAACAATACAAAGCTTGAGCAAGTCCAAAATATGCAATTAAGTAACTTCATTTATAGAAATAATAAATTAGTAGCACGACTAAATTATTACTAGAGTTTTTCATATTAAGAAATACGACTAAAACCGACTTGATTAGTTATAGCTAATAAAATGTTTATAATTAAAAAAAAAAAACAATTATACCTACTTGATTTATGAAAAATGCTCGATAATTAATTATTATGATGTCGAAAACACTCTTAATTTTAGAAAGATTCTTATTTTTTTGACATGTTGGTGACATGTACTGTCGCAGTGTTCCTTTTTTAAATTGAAATTATCATTATTTTGCTTTTTATTAATTCAGTGATGTAAACGTGAGTCTTACGTTGTTCACGCCACAAAAAGATAGAAAGATTCATTCTGAAAATTACAAGGTACACACATAAAAACCCTTTTATTATCTAAACTACACCTTTGTAGTATTACTGTCAATTATGTCATTAAATGTAATGCATACTTTTATGGAAGGAGTACAAAAAAGTACTCTTTTAGTGTCCATCACATGTGTCCAATCACATGGTTGTTGTCACAAATCAACTTTGATGGCAATGTTTTTTTTAACAAGGTGGACAGAATATTTAACCTAATGATACGGTTCTTTCAAAGCAATCAGTCGATACTTAACTCTTGTCAACTTTGTATTTTTACAAGGAAATAAATATGTCATTAGTTTATAAATAGAGTTTGTTTCTACTTAATTATACATTGTGAAAACAAATTGGGGTTTGTATGCACACACACACTACAAATTGGGGTTACCTGAAAAACTTTATTAGCTAATTCAGATAACGATTTAGGTTATAATTCCGCAAATAACTTTGTTTTTTGTCATCAATATTTATTTTTTCGAAAAATGTCTTCACATCAACGTCAATTTAAGTGTTATAATTTGATCCAAATAAATTTACTTTTAGGATCTACGTACTTTAAACGATATAAAGCAACATTTTTGTATGGGAACGTTCTATGTTTACTATTTATAACTGTTCTCACTATTTTTATTTATACGATTTTTGAGTTTCTCAGTTATTTTTCTCGCGATCTAAAACTCGATCTTTAAGGATTTTTTTTTCGTTAACGTTACGTACCTAAACGTAACTTGTTAGTAATGCATACTTGCACGGTTCGCATCACACAACAGTTTTTATCTCGTATAAACCCACTTAATAATAAACTAAGAATAGGCTTAGACTATTTACGTCGTATTATGTTAATATGATGATGATGATGATGTTAATATCACTTAAATTGTCATTCAATGAACAGCGGTGCTATCCTGTAGCACATTCCCATATAGATTCGCGCGGAGCCACATCGGATCATCGGAAGTTTTACAGAATAGCACTGCGGACACAAAAAATGCAGTAACTAATCCAAGCTTAGTCTTCGTTTATTAATAAGGGGGAAAGGGTTTTGTATTACGATATTTAACACAAGGCCAAGCCAAAAATGTCGTATAAATCACGGTTTCAAGCGTCGTTCTTGTGGCATGGAGATTATGTGAAAATTTATTGTTCGTGAAATTCGGTCTGCTGTCAGACGGATGGATAGACGAACAGCGGAGTTTATTAAAAGAGGGCCGTAGGGCCAGTGGGGGACAACGTAACAGGGGGCACAGTGTTATATAAAGGGGCCCATATACGGAACGATTGATCTGTACGATCCGTCAATTCAGACCGATCGAAACGATGGATAGTGTATGTCAAGATCGTTAACGATTTACTTAATCGCAGACGATATCGGAGATCGCAACAAAAACCCATGCAATCATGAATATCGTAAACGATCGATCGTCAGTGTCCCATATACGGTACGATTGATCTGTACCAATTGTCTGTATTGATCTTAACGATTTCCTTCAGATCGATCGCATCGACGTATCGTTTACGATCAATCGTTTCGTGTATGTAGTGGCATTTATGAACGATTGATCGTTGACGATTTCCTTCAGATCGATCGCAACGACGAATCGTTCCGTATATGGGGCCCTTAAGGAATGTCTCCGCCCTTTTACTTATTTGGCTATGGTCTGCGTTGACATATTTTATTAATTTCATATGCCGCCATCTTCTACAGCTGCGATCAGACGACAAATGGCCGAGTATAATACAGAGATATTCCGTTTTTTGAAGAACTCGTTGGTGCAAGTGGTTAGCGCGTTCGGTTGCGAACAATGAAGTCAAGCAACTTTCGCAGTGGTCGGTCATTGGATGGGGACCCAAAAATTTACTAAAAAAAATCAAATAAGCCGTTGGTCCCTCTCCCTATTCCTCTCCTCAGGGAAGGCCTGTACCGTATGTTACACTTTACCCCTTGTTACACTATCGGGGGACAATGCAACAAGAGGCACAGTTACTTGACCCTACTCAGTCATTGGGTACTGGGTCTAAAAAGGTTTAGGTAGGTGTTCGAAGTTCTAATTAATTAGTATTATATAAAAAACGGCGTATTTGTATTTTCGTGATGATAATAATATTGAAGGTGTCTGCTTCGACTATTAAACATTACCTTCTTTAGCTGACTTTTCAGAATAGCTGGAAATAGGACCCATCCGAATATGATCCCGAAGACTCCGGCGGCCGCCGTCCCAGCACCGATCTTCAAATGTTTCGGTAACTGCATCTCTTGCTCCTAAATACTGCCACTTTCTGTAAGAACAGTTTTAATTTTCAATGGAGAAGGGTGTAGAAGAAGAAGTAATCGACACAATACATCACAGAAGATTAAAGCTATCTCGCATAGATGCTACGAGGTGCGCGCAATTTCAGTTCCTATGATACAATCCTATACAATGTGATCTGAGTGATAGCTTTAGGATTTCTCTTATTAAGACAGCCCCAGCGTTGAATATAATGTGGTTGAGATTTTTTCTGCAACTTTGACTGGGTTGATTCCTTTCTAGGTACTAAAACTTCTTTCGACCAGCTTAATGCCTTAAAATCTAATAAACTATGATAGTCGATGCTGTTTTTCTCGAATTATGCGTACTTTTCTATGTCTTAAATTGAGGATGAAAGGTTAAATTGAATAAAATATTAATTTTGAATTCATCCAGCGTGGCAATGCTGCAAGCATAATGGGCACCTTTGCGCCAGAAACGATACGGGGTGATACTTGACGATGTTTGTATGAATGGAATTGTATATTTTACCAAATAGGTAATTTTGTTTATACATAATCTAAGCTCAATTTATTGTTATGTTATTTAAGGAAATGTGAATTATTAAATAAAACTAGTTTTTACGGGTTAATGCACGAAACTTTATTTATTTATTGACGTTTCGCAGCCTTTTCAGGTCTGCATCGTCAGAATAATGATTTTTTATTTATAAAGTATTTTTAAAGGATAATCCTTAGTGCCACTATTCATTTTATCACAGTATTAGTATTAAATGTTACTTATAATTTTTAAAAGTAAGCAGTTGTTGTCTAATAGGCCTGAAATCTAATCTAATTCTAATCGTTAGTTCTACGCAACTTAAATAAAAACAACTGTTATCATCTTAGATCAAATAAATATAATCTAAATTTATCATTTATGTTTGAGTCCATGACCTTCTTTAGTTTGAGCATAATACGGACAGTACGTTTCTTTACGCGTGTGATAATTAGAGATCGGATGCATATAAACTTTTTTTTTGTTCTTTATTTATTTAGAGGGTTTTATTCTACGAAAATGCCAACCTCATCGTACCCTAACCAAAACTTATAAAAATTTTGGGCCTAAAGCGTAAAAACGAATCAAGTACAAAGCCATGTGGGGATTAATTTTTAACATTTTTTTTGGAGGACTGCCGGAATTTTGAAATTTATTCATTAATAAAAATAGGAATGGTATCATCAAAAATCAGGGAACCAAGGAAACGGAGTGATTTGGTAACAAGATTTTTTATATTAGGATCTAAAGCCAAAAATTTGGTGATAATGTGTTGTAAATGTTCAGGTGAGAATTTTGGTACTGGAATAAATAGCTCTTATTTTGAATAATTTAAGTCAAGGTTAAAATAATTTTGAATTTATAAATAATAAGTTAAAAATCTGAGAGAACAATTGAAATATCGCCAGCGATAGTTCCGTTATCAAGGTACCACATAATAAATTTTGAATTAATAATATTGTATAGCCAAACTCAAATTAGCGGACCTGAGGGGTTCACCTTGCTGACAGCCAACAGATAATTACAATAGGTTATTTTTGAAAAGAAGTTTAATTGGTTTTCTGTACCATTGCCAAAAAATAATAATAATATAAATAGTAGGGGTTTTTGTTGAATAGTTGAAAGCAAGGCACCTCTATCCACGGAATTGAAGACATTCCTAACATTCACCTTCAGCTCTACCTCCGCTGCGTCAAGCGACAGATAGGTGCGAAGAGCGTGCTTCACAACCACCCTTGACGCCAAAACCACGCTGAACTGGTTGAAATTCGACTGAAACAATCGGTAAAATAACGGTGACAACAAACTTTGGATCTATGGGTGGTCCAACTAGTGACGTCAATATTTTTTTTTCGATTCCTCGCACCTGGGGGTTTCCGAAAATACCCCATGTATGTTCCGCGATTATTCTTAGTTTTCGAGGTATAATTTTTTTTGTGTATTTTTAATGATTTCTGCCGGCGAGGTTTGAAAAATTCTTATCTTTTTTCGTTTTTTCTTGAATGTTGTTTTAATAAAAAAATAACTCAACTTCCTGCAATTACTTAAAGTTACTCAAAAAAGGCTTGAGGGTTGGATCTTTAGTTTTTAGTAGGATTTACTCAAACGTTCAACTTCAATACAAAAAGGAGTTTCCATAGCTTCTGGTTAAGTTTAAAAACTCCGCATGCTTTTAAACTACCAAAAATCATAAAAAAATAGTACTTAATCAGCCTATTTTTGTTGTAATTGGCCTTCGAATGCGGATAGTATTTTAAAGCATTTAAAATTATTTTATCTACTTTTTATCATTGTTATGGTAAATATCCTGTATTAAAATCCTGTATATGTATATAAATATAAATGTGGTTTTATAATATTAACTCGGTTAGTTCCTACGTGCTAACGAGTGTTTGATTACAAAATTAAATGTTTTGGCGTCATAACATAGATAAATCTATGAACTAATATAGCCGACTGCATTTTTTCTGTCCATAAAAAACCTATTTTGTAATTGATTACGAATATGTAAAACATAATCGTCTGCATATTGTGCGATACATACGTTTTCAATCCTCTGAGTAATTTTATAAGTTGATATATTTAATAGTAGTGGTGAAATCGGGTCGCCTTGAGCTAAGCCAGTACAACACCGACAAGCGGCAAAAATATTTCTGTTCTTATTGTATTTAACTGTTAATTGCCTTTGACTTAAAAAAACTTAATAAGCATTTCCATATTTGAGACCTTACGCCGATTTTATCTAATGCTTCTGTTTATTTATCTATTAAAATATTATTATAAGCGTTTTCAATATCTAAAAAGCATGTTGCAGTTGACTCATTCTTTAATAAACCATGCTGGATATAAGTTACTAATCTAGTAAGATAGTCAGAGCACGAAAGGGATCTTCTGATTCCAGACGTATAAGGTGATAGTATCTCATTTTTTCTGCTAGCCACCCAATTATTTTCTATGAAAAATCTTACATAGACATGATATAGGTGATATCGATCTATGTTTCGGTGCACTTTTTACTTCTTGAATAGCTTTGGGAATTGCAATAACTAAAATAGTGTTCCACTGACTAGGAATTTTATCAGACTTCAAAATACAATTGTGTAAATGGAGAAGATAATATTTAGCTGATAAAGATAAATTATAAATGCTTAAATATTTTTAAGCTATTGCATAGAGATAAGTTGATAAATAATGTTATGCAATAGCTTTACCGCGGCAGTCCCCGAGTGCCAACGTATTTTTTTTTATTATTATTATAAAGTTGTCACCAATCTCCAGTTTCAATGCAAAAAGTATTATTTCATTTAAAAGGAAATTAAACCTTAATAAAATAAATCAAAAATTAGTAGAGCGTATATTAATATAATGTTTGCCTTCATTATATTAATATCATGGACTTTAATATATGTACAAAGAGTTCAAAGTCATCAGTTAAAATTACGAGTTTTAAGACATTTAGACGGCCATTAGGACATATGTGCCGGTTACTGGTACAAATGACTCATTTTGCATTAAATATATTTTATAATTTTCATTTTCAATTCTTTCTTTTCTTGATAAACAAATAAATAAATTAATTATAAATTAGAATTAATTCTGTGGGCCATGATGTAATTAAAAATTTCATAAGTTAGTTAATGATTTTGTGGCACAACTGCAAAGTCATCCAAGTTCAGAAACTAGCAGTTATTGGTACGTTTACCTTAACTTTGCTTTTGTGATGGCGGATGGCGATTTTTGTCTCGCTATATCGACAATGTAAACAAAGAATATTAGTTAAAAACGTACAGTTCATAGTGTACATTTGTTTATTCATATTATTATGCTAGTTTTCCTCGCCTGGCTTTGCAGGCAGGTGTTAATTAAATACTTACATTCAAAACATTTTATTTTATTTGTAAAATACTAACATAATTCACATTTTTGTTTCTTAGGTTTTCACGCACATCACTCATTAAATAAAACTAGTTTTTACGGGTTAATGCACGAAACTTTATTTATTTATTGACGTTTCGCAGCCTTTTCAGGTCTGCATCGTCAGAATAATGATTTTTTATTTAAAAAATTATACCATTCCTATTTTTATTAATGAATAAATTTCATAATTCCGGCAGTCCTCCAAAAAAAATGTTAAAAATTAATCCCCACATGGCTTTGTACTTGATTCGTTTTTACGCTTTAGGCCCAAAATTTTTATAAGTTTTGGTTAGGGTACGATGAGGTTGGCATTTTCGTAGAATAAAACCCTCTAAATAAATAAAGAACAAAAAAAAAGTTTATCTGCATCCGATCTCTAATTATCACACGCGTAAAGAAACGTACAGTCCGTATTATGCTCAAACTAAAGAAGGTCATGGACTCAAACATAAATGATAAATTTAGATTATATTTATTTGATCTAAGATGATAACAGTTGTTTTTATTTAAGTTGCGTAGAACTAACGATTAGAATTAGATTAGATTTCAGGCCTATTAGACAACAACTGCTTACTTTTAAAAATTATAAGTAACATTTAATACTAATACTGTGATAAAATGAATAGTGGCACTAAGGATTATCCTTTCGAAATAAAGACGTTGGATCCTGAAGAGCACGCGGAAGTGTTTAAACAGTTTAAAGGAGATGGAGGTATGCTTGAAGATTTCATACGTGTCGGTCCGAAAGGTTACTGGTTTCCACATGGGTTTGCGGAAATGGCTCCCAAAATCTACAATATGAAAATAAGATCCGATGACGTTTGGGTGATAACATTTCCAAAATCAGGAACAACATGGATACAGGAGTTAGTGTGGCTGGTGGCAAATCATTTTGACTATGCTAATGCTGAAACTATTCCACTCTCGCAAAGATTCGAGTTCATAGAGGTTGCAATGTACTTTAAAGGCAAGAAAGTACAAACAGCACTTCAACGTAATGAAAAAACCAAAGCTTTACTGGACGCAGTGAACACGTCGTTCGATCGAGTGTCGTCGATGCAGTCGCCGCGGTTCTTGAAATCGCACCTGCCGCTGTCGCTGCTGCCACCCGTGCTGCTGAACTCCTGTCGCGTGGTGCACGTGGCGCGCGACCCAAGGGATGTGGCCGTCTCCTACTACCACCACTACAAATTTTTCAGAGGAATCGGCTACACAGGCAACTTCAAACAATTCTGGAATTTATTCATAGACGACAAAATTGACTTGACGCCATATTTCGAGAACGTGAAAGAAGCGTGGCGCATGAGGCATCACCCTAATATGCTATTCCTGTTTTACGAAGACGCCATTAAGGACCTGCCGTCAACGGTGAAGAGGGTGGCTGCATTCCTTGGGAAGGTGGTGACAGAGGAGCAGGTTAGCCGGCTCTGACTTCAAGAAAAATAAATCTGTCAACTTTGAAAGTTTCACGGACATGGGTCTTACTAATAATGGCTCTTTTATGAGAAAAGGCAAGGCGGGTGGTTGGCGCGAGTACTTCGACGAGGAGATACTGCAGCAGGCGCAGCGGTGGATAGAGCACAACTTGCGGGACACGGACCTCACATTCCCTTCAGTAGAATAAACACGCTATTTTGCACGGCTGTGTAACTAGCAACCTCATTATAATTGTAAAAAAATACACAGGTTTTTTTTTTGTTTTTAGCTTTATGACGTCTTTTTTAGCAGTTCTTTAAATCAAAATGAAAAAAGAGTTTGTAATCTAACAGGATAAACAGGACTGTAACATTATTCTATTTAAATTATCTTTTCAACACATTTGCTTAAAAACTGCATTTACGAAGGTTGTATACATTGTTCGAAAATTCCAAATTACGGGTCATACAGCGGAGCGTGCTGTAAAATTCATAACGCACTCACCCATATATGGCACCGTGCGTATTCTTTACGGTTTTATTTTTATTTTTATCGAATCTCCTTGGAAGCGCTTTTAGTATATACCTATGCCTCACTTTAATACTAAAAAGAAAAAGAGATGAAAGATGTTCTTCTAATTTTCACCAACCGCACGTGGCGCACATTTTGAAATGGCCATTTTATTATTAGAAAAAAATAGCTTCATGCAAACTATGTATAATGTTTTCTCGAAAATGTGTTGGATATGACATTCGTGCGGATGGGTATTACAAACTCGTGATTATGGTAAGTTTTACATTCGTCTACTCGTTACCAACTTAGCGCACTAATATCATAAATAACTATAATAATAATTTATTGGAACCACTTTACATTTTAGTACATGATAATATGAACACTGTCCTCTGGAAAAGGTTACCCTGAGGACCAGAAGACAGTGCTCTCCCCACTATTGTTACTTTAGAGCTACTAGCTAAGAATAATTAAAAGATGTAAAAAACCCTTGGTGTGCGATTTCTCCTCCTTTTTTCTTATGGGTTTTGAATATTTAGGGGGCGTCGCAGAAATTTCGCCCCGGGCGTTGGAAGTACTAAAACAGGTACTGTCATTATCAGCTCACTTTTATGAGGCTAGTACTATATCTTCCCAGTTGGTTTTAGGCCCTATTGCACCAAACTTCGTAATGAGGATCCATAACGATTTTAGTTGAGAATGCAGATTTATAGAGCTAAAGATTCCATAAAATCTTCCTCCTTGTGTCGTGCTCCTCATTGCTGAGGGTCGTGACCTCCACGAATTATTTTGTGGACGATCGCTTTCCACTTGTTGCGGTCTTCAGCAGTGTGGAGTGCATCGCGGACTCCAGTTTTGGTATTGTCGCGGATCTGGCCTACCCTGTAATTTCCCTGTCACCAGGAGCACTTACTCCATAAAATACAATGGTTAAATTTATGTTTTACGACAGATATTGACGAAGTTATGACCAAAATACTAAACGAATTTTCGGCTGACCTCGTGTTGACTGTGACGTCACAGAGCTCTAGCGCTCGGGCGCAAACGCCTTTTCCAGGATGGCATATACAGAGAACAAATACAGAACGACGATGTCAAACTCACGATTTTACCATTTATCCCATTAATGTTGATTTAACTAAAAACCTACAATGTGAGGAGCAAATTAAAGAATTTGCCAAATGAAAGTGCAGAAAGGTTGCTTTATAATTTGTCAATTTATTTACGGTTGTATAACACCAATGCATAATATATTATAATATAAATTAAATATTTTACTGTCTCATTTTTTTCTATACTTTGAGTAATTATTTCTTATGATTTGCTGTAAGGGTGGGCCCTTAAGTAGTATCAGCCCAGGGCCCCCTAAACTCACGGTCCGGCCCTGATGATGCCAGTAAAATGCGATTCCGTAAAATAAAATCTCTGCCATTTTAGGCATTGGTTTGATATGCATTATGCCATAACCATATTGTCAGAAATCCGAATAAATGAGATCAAAGGTGAGATTCCATCTTACAGAATACCTGTGTAGGGCGCGTTGTTCTACATACTCGTAGTTAAATGGGATCTTTGATCCCTACCGAATTTTAGTATCGTGATAAGAAAGGCCCAAGTCCTTATTAAAATTTGTCAAAACCGATTAAACTATAAAGACCTTATTGAAATTGATACTTAATTTTTAAATAGCTAGGGCATAGCGATTTCCCGCGCGGATTGGAGAGCCCATCTTTTTTTATTTCTCTTAAATTTTCAGAAATATTAAGTTATATGTTTTTTTTTGTATTCTGCCTAAATATAACAGTATACGGGATATAACAGTTTATCGGCTGTGCAATATTTGCATTTGCGTGCGCTTTTTATTCAATTTCATTTTTTAGAAAATCGTAAAAGTGAACAATCATGAGCACTCCTAGGCAGTTGATTTTAGTTTGAGAGAGGCGGATTTTCCGCTAGAATTAAAGCGACCGTCTATGGATGTAACCGCCTTACAGAAGATCACGGTAAACTACCTTTTGGTGGTGTTCCGTTTCTGTTGGTGAGTAGGGTTCCATAGCTCCAAGGGGTAGGGGATAGGCTCAGGGTAGCACTGGTCAACAATATAATGACATCAGGCTTAATTTATGAATACCACTGTAAATTGACTAATATTGGTAACGAAAATAGATTGACTTTACACTGGATTAAAGGACACAGCGGCTCAAGGCGTGACGATGCGGCGGACTGCTTAGCCAGGGAAGGTTCCAGTAGGACGGCTATCGACAGCTGCGAACCTGGATAAGCTAGCGCCGTCAACGACAACACGACGAATACTGGGCAAAACTCACGGACTGCAGGCAAGCTAGGGAAGCCGTTCCCAAGGTAAACCTGCAGCTAATACGTAAGTTAATCAGACTACCTAGACAAGCCTTAAAACAAATCGTGGGTATACTCACGGGTCACGGCTACTTCAACAAACACCTTTGTAATTTAGGTATTTCTGACAGCCCTCTGTGCAGAGATTGCCTGGAGGACGAGGAGACGAGCGCCCATGTTCTATTGGTGTGTAGGGGCGTTGCAAGACAAAGGACATCTCTAATGGGAAGCCCGAAGACAATAGTAGAGACCTGCAGAAACATTCGGGGACTGCTGAGCTTTCTGGAGGAGCTGGGATGGCAGGACTGATGCCAATCCCCAGGCAAAATAGGCGCTGGGTGTCGGGTTGCGGAAACAGCCCGCCGTTCTACTTCTACCATGCTCAGGGTACAGTGATAGTTTTTGTATTGCAAGTATCTATATGCTATAGTGGCCGCTTCACTTACTCACCGACAGAAACACAAAATCATCAAAAGGTAGTGTTATTTTACTGCGATGTTCTGTAAGGTTGAAGTTACTTCCCTAGATAGGCGCTTCAATTCGCGCGGAAAATCTGCTATGCTCTACCACTCTTAAGAGAACTATACTCGGCTCTACTTAGTTATATAAGTATCACAATATTGTGGTGGTAGGTTTTCTGTATCCATAAAGTAAAGCTAAAAATGACGCAACATACCATTTCTCAGCCAAGTACAATTAAAATAAATTTCACCCTACGACAATGAGAATTATTAAACATTTGTTTGAGCTGTAGTTCAACCTTTCGTAGCTAAGTACTTAATAACATAATTTTGTAATTGTAAAATCGATCACGGTGCATCATGTGATGAAGCATTAAGTTTTTCCCACGAGCTTTTGCAGTGCATTCCTATTCATAGTCTAAGAGCCAACGACAATAAACCTACTCCGATAAGACTCCCAGATAATAGTGCTTATCATGAACTTTTAAGGAAAGCTATAACGGTTAAGATATATTTGTTGGTTTCAGAGTAATAGGCTTTCAACTTTGGTTAAAGAAAATTTCTTTCCTATTGAAAATTCCTAAGAAGAAAACATTAATAGTGGATTAAGATCGTTTCTGTCAATTAGTTATGAGAAGCATAACAATGAAAAAGGCAGAAAAAATCAATACTGTCTTTTCGAAGACATGGTATGGTAGGCAAAGAAGTAGTTTATTACCTGAGATCAGCTGCAAGACTACACATACAAACTGATTTATATTAATCATTCATTCATTCGTTTGTGCTGCTGTCAAGCTGATATACAGCAAATCTATATAAAAGACGAAACTGACTAACTGACTGCCAATCAACGCATTGCCCAAACCTGGGTCTAGAGACTCCAAATTTGGCACGTTGTTTCCTTATGAGGTCTAGGGGTAGGGTTGCCAGGTCCGATTTGTTTTAAATCGGTACATGAGGTCAAAAAAATCGGGATTTAGGGTTGCACGTCGGCACAGTAAACAAAAAACCAAGGGGTTTGAAGTCTGGGTTTAATTTATTGCGTTTTAAACTACAAGTGCAAGCATAGTATTATATTAATTACCTAAATTAATTTTTTTGATTAATCGGGACATTTAGCGTCCCGATCAGGTACAAATTGGGACGCGTCCCCAGACCCCTGAAAATTGGGACGTCCCGCGCAAATCGGGACACCTTGCAACACTATCTAGGGGAGCACTAACTAAGTAAGGGTATTTAAAAATTTCCACCCCAATGGTTTAAATATGAGATGATAAGTTTATATTAAAATCTGATTCCTTGAGTTATTACTTATTAGACTTGAAACTTGGCACGAATACCTTTCTGAATAAATTACATCGTTTATTATATTTAGATTTTCTAAACTACTTTCGAAAAGGGGATTGGGTGGTTGTCTTAGGCTGTTTGCACTTCGATAAATTCGAAACTTGGTATTTTTACTCAAACTCCAAAATCATTTATTATTATTTTTTAAGTATTTTACTGCTAGATGTTTAAAACTGAAGAAAATTTTACAAAATACGACCACGCGAACTATCATTTATTCAGTCTAGACAGTCATAAGCACTTGTGAAGGTCGAGAATCTGCGTATCGGTTCGTAGAACACGGCGGGAGACCTTGTACTAAGAAGAACCGACAAGAAACTCAGCAACGGTTGTTTTTTTCTTCCTGTATTATTATATATACAGAGTTGTCAAGTTGAAAAATGACTTCAGAGATACTTCTGAAGTAACCTTCTATTCTCGAGCTCGATGACGCAAGTGGTTAGCGTTTCGGCTGCGATCGTTGAAGTTAAGCAACTTTCGCAGTGGTCGGTCGTCGGATGGGTGACCAATAATTAACTATCTCGAGCTTCTCCATGCTTCGGAAGGCACGCTAAGCCGTTGGTCCCGGCTGCATCTGCAGTCGTTAGCACCCGCCAATCCGCACTGGGCCCGCGTGGTGGGTCATGGCCCAATCTCCCTATTCCATCCATAGGGAAGGCCTGTGCGCCAGCAGTGGGGACATTAATAGGCTGATGATGATGATGATGATGAACCTTCTATTACATCATTTAGAATATTGATTTATAGTTACAATAAGTTGTAGAGTTAACTTTATGTTTTTAGTATATCTATAGGAAGCGGAGGCGGAGTTCAGATACCACATTACTGTTATGAGAAACTACTAATACCTTTTACATTTCAAATTACAAGTAACACTATTTCATTTCATCATTAAGACAATCATACACTTTGTAAAAGCCACTTATATTACTCATAAGAGTATTCTTGATCAGATTTAAATTTGGTCAGAGGAAGCTCAATCAGATCTTGGAGAACTTTATTAAAAAGTGCAATACTACAACCCCGAAATGAGCCTGTCGATTTTTGGAGTCTGAAACATGGAACGGCAAGCATGTTCTTAAATCTCGTGGTGTTAAAGTTATGCGTCATAAAATTTTCTTACATATATATGTATATTATAGTTTCATAAATGTAATAATGCGAAGCCAGTGTTAAAATATTAATTTCATTAAAATTTTCTCTAAGAGAATCTCTCGTCTTCAAGTTGTATATGGCGCGAACAGCTCTCTTTTGCAAAATGAAAATTCTATCGATATTAGCAGCTGAGGCCAACAACAAACTACTATTAAAGACCCGAAATAACGAATAACTTATCAGGGTTTTTCATAAATCTATTAAGAGGGTAAAAAAAGGGCATGAAAGTTTGTATGAAAAATCTTATTCTTTGAGTTTATATAGACTTAAAACTTGGTAAGAATACTAATCTTTGTTTTTATAAAGTTTGTAATTCTTGGTTTGCCTAAACTATTCTTAAAGAGGGGATTTGAGGGTGCCAAAAGGGTTTTTATATAGATGAATTTTAACGTGCATTACGATTGACTCTAAGCTCAATATTTATGCTTGAGACCTGAAATAAAATAACATGTATCATGGTTCTTTCAAACTCTACCCGTAACGGGGTGATAAGGGTAGTAAATTTTACAGGTGACTATTTTACTTTGAGGCTTGGTTTTAATCGGGAAACGCCTGAGTGAAATTGATAAAAATTTGGCAGACATACAGTTTGCGATAAAGGATAATTTTTAACCCGAAAAAAATTAGGTTCCCGAGGGATCCTTAAAAAACTAAAGTTAAGAAGGACCAAGTCGCGGGCGACTGCTAGTAGCGTATATGAGCATTTAAGGGAGGCATACATATTTATTGGCATAAATATCTGACATCGAAGAAATATTAAAATTATTATGATGAAAGACGAGATCATAAATTTAAGATTTTCCATTAGCTACAAAAAGATATCACCTCCCAGTATCGAAAATAAACCTGATATATTTTGCGTCATAAATATGTTTTAGCCTTCTTCTACAAATATCGTATAAACGAAAATAGTGAGAACAGCTGTAAACAGTAATCTTACACCTCCATACGAAAATATTGAGTTATTTCCTTCACAAATTATGCTTTTAGGCAATAATGTGTACATAAAAAAACTTTATGGAAGTAAGTAAGTAAGTATTATGCGTTAAAAGTGCGTAGATCCAAGGTAGATCCCAAAAATAGTTTTATTTGATCAATTTATGACAACTAAAATTGTTAAGGTTTCATAAGGGAATATTCAAATAAGCCTCATTTTATTTTTGTACCGCTTCGACGTCTAATTGGAAATATTTAAAAAAAGCATCCTTAACTCGTCCTTTTTTTGAAATTGGAGAATAACATTTCTTTATTGGCCTTTTCCATTATTTTGGCGGCAATTCAAAATTTAATCTGAATTTTATTTTGTTTAAAATGGGCAAAAATAAAAGTTGTGACGTATGAACTAGGAAAAACATTGTTAATTTACATATAGATCATAAGTGGGAGTACAGAAGAATAGCTGAGTATTTAAATTGTTATGTTAAGAAAGTTTTAATGCAATTAATCATTATAAAACACATGGAAACTGCTGAAAATGTTAGGCTTAGAAAGGCTCGGCCAAGAAAAACCTCTCCCAGAGAAGATACGCTAATTGTTCGTGTTGCTAAAAAATACTCAAGTGAAGGCTCCAACTAGATTAAAAATGAAGTTTTTTCGCCTAATGACCTGAGAAATATCTCGTCAATACTGATACGCCGAAGATTAGTGGAAGCTAAATTGTTTGGAAGAATTGCTCGAAAGGTACCGCCTTCTTACCAAGCAACACCGAGAGAAGCGATTATTATTCGCTAAAAATATGTTAATTGGACGTTACGAGGATGAAAAAAGTGTTATTTTCAGATGAAAGAAAAATAAATATGGTAAATTCCCATGAAAAGCGCTATGTTGGATGTCCTGTAAATAATGCTTTTAATTATAAATATAAATGGAGTATAGTCAACCACGGTGGCGGTAACATTAAAGTTTGGGGGTGTTTTTCCGTATGTGGAGTTAGACCCGTTCGGAAGATTAAAGGTACAATGGATCAATGACAATACAAAAATGTCTTAGAGCACACAATGATTCCTTACTCGGACGATCGTTTGCCTGTAACCTGGATCTTTCAGCATGACAATGACACACGGCCAATAGTATCAAATGTTTCCATAACGAATACGATACGGTATACCATACGATATCCGTTTTAAAAAGAAAAAGAAAAAGTTAGAAAATCTCTGGTATATTGTTAAAAAAAAGTCTCAAACAAACGTAAAACCAATCAAAACTATATGAAGAATTTGTTGAAGCATGGATATCAATCCCACCAAAAAATACCACTTCGTTGCAGTGCTGTTATTACAAATAAGGGATACGCCACTAAATATTAAATATAACGGCTGTGGATAGTAGCTATTTCGTAAATAACAATACTAATTATTAAAACTTAAAAAAATATTGATTTTTATACTTTTTTGTAGTTGTTTCTAATTAGTTGGCCATTATTGTTCATGCCTTAAAACTGATTTGAATGTTTATCCGTAATACAATATTGAAACTGCACTTGAATTTTCTTGACTCTAACTATGACATATAAGTTAGCCTGAAATAATTCAGTTTTAATTCAGCTCTAAAAATTAAAATGATTTAAACTAACATTAAAACTCCATTCGTCACCCTAGTATCCCATAACACAAGCCTTACCGGGATTCGAACCCGGGACCTCTCGAGTCGGCGACACCATGAAACCCGGCGTACAAACCACTCGGTCACGGAGGTCGTCAATCTGCACTATGATAAGACATACACTATATCACGTCGTCAACGATATTAACATAATTATATTAAATTAAAATAACAGCTCTGCGTGTGAACGTTCATGTCCTAACGTATGTAAGAGGTGAAGAACTTCAGAAAATGCGTTTACGTTTAATTCGACTTTACGAAACTCGTGAGGCTGGCTGCATAATTTCGGTTTCCTGACTCGGATTCCAGGGGGGCAATCGCCTAACGGGACTGCTATGGTTATCGCTATCGCTTACGATTTCATTTTGTTATACCATATTTTGCCATAGTAAACACGTGCGGCGATTGGCCCCCCGATCAGGAATTCCGATTCGGACACCTGAATGCACGTCCTTACACACAAAGTGTTCATCGAGGCGCACTCTATTCTTATTTTTCAGAATGGAAATAAACCTACCGATACACCACTGCATCTAATAAATAAAATTGAAAATATTACTAAATAAAAATTGATACGTACTGCGCGTTATATGTCCGGCTGTAAAGAAAACGGTTGGTATATTAACTGCTTCACTGCAATGCTTTAATACTTGTAATTTGTGGGCGGGTAATAGTACAGACGGAGGGTAAAGTGGAAATGGCACCGATAGATATTATTTTCCAGTTATAAAACTGTTTTTTTGTTTCACCTACTTTATGTCTTGGAGGTTTGGAAACAGGTAAACAACTTGGTTCTATAAGTGATTTGCGATCTGCAGTGCTATTCTGTAAAAGCAAACTCACTTTATCTACGGTGTGACTTGAAATTTATTAAAAATTTAATTTACATCGCAGATTATTAAGCTAATTACAAAGCTTTTGAATATTGATATATAAAAAGAGTACCTACTTATGAGCATTAAAATGTTTTTTGTAAAGACTAACAAAAAACACAAAATAGCCCGCCCGTATAGAATAGCCCGCTCACGTGTTCCCTCCTTCTTACAAAATTATAGCTATAGGAAAATGATTCTAGCCCCCCTGATGTTATGAGGTGGTAAAGTCATAAATAAATAAATTTTATGAAAAATAAAATCATTCTTAAAATGTACTTTAAAAGGGGAACAGAAGCTTTTCCTTCACGTAATGTTATAATGTAAAGATGACCCTGACATAGGTAAAACAGTTTGTAAATCATATCGGTATCTGATGTTAAGTGTAAGGGTGTAGGGTCCTTTGCGAAGATAAGTGGCAAAGATGTCATGTGTGAGGCTTTGAAAAAACTTTACTAACTGCAGAAAATTTTATCTAATTATAGCTATGTTGAGTATGGATCTCTTATGTCTCGCGGCTGTACGCTTCTGCCTCATGAATGTTGAATCAGTTGCTAGCGGGTACACCACCAATCGAAACTCTTCATTATTTCCTACTTACCACTTTGCAGAACATTGGTTTCTCATTATTTTTATTTCATACCATTAGCCTGAGAGTAAATAATGCAATGATTTAGAACCTGTATATTATGTGTACTGACACTAACATATGAGCGGGAATTTGTTTGTAAGACAAGAGCTGCACAACAACGAGAGAAGAGAGGTTGAGCATAGCGGATTTCCCGCTCGAATTGAAGCGCCCGTCTGGGGAAGTAACCTCTACCTTACAGAAGATATTGTTTTTTATACTTTTTTGTAGTTGTTTCAATTAGTTGGCCATTATTGTTCATACCTTAAAATTGATTCGAATGTTTGTCCGTAATGTTATATTGAAACTGTACTTGAATTTTATTAACTCTAAGTATGATATATAAGTTAGCCTGAAAACTGTTTAAATTCAGCTCTCAAAATTAAAATGATTTAATCTAACATTAAAAGTCTAATCATCACCCTAGTATCCCATAACACAAGCCTTACAGTGCTTACTTTGGGGTTAGGCTAATTGGTGTGTATTTATAAATATTTTTTTACTACTTTCAGATATAGAGACTGAAATATTTAATAATCAGCAATTATGTTTCATACGTCAGAATAACATCTATTCTGACGTATAAAAAAAAATAAAAAACATAATTCTTTATAATGATTTCGTTAAAGACTAACCAAAAAATGCGAGAATATTTGTAAAGGACAATGGGCAAAACGCACCCAGCTCCGCCACCAATGTAACTAGTATGAATCGATAGATTTATGAAAAACTAGTCTTTTTTATTATGACACCGAAAATAAATATCCTGGGAGTCAAAAGATATGACACCGTAAAAAATATCCTGGTAGTCATTAGATATGACACATGGGCATATTTAAGTAGCTGAATAAATTCATTTTATAGTACCTTCATTTTATATTATTAGTAATCATAATAATATGCCATATCGTACTATACAACCAGATATACGACAAAGCCTACCGACCATCCTGCTGCTCTTACTGAGACATTTCAAAACGGTTTACGGATGATGAAGGACTTGCAGTTGCAAATAGTCGACTCGTCTTAATTCGTTGTGATTGTGCGCTCCCTGCTACTTGATTGATTTTTATCTAACATGCTTTGGATATTGGAACACGATTATCGGATTTGTCAATTAGTATGGATGAACTGGAATCATGTGTCCTCCGAAGCGTGGACAAGTTTGTGTAATCTGTGGTCGCTCCGTTTTACATAGAAGACAATTTTCTATAATGAACAGAATGGTTAAAAAAAAAAACAACCCAAGCGGGGATTTTTGGATTTACTCTAGCGCGGCAGAATAACATAAGGGGGCACCTTTGCACCTTGTGAAGTACTCCCATAATTCCTGAGCACCTTATATAGGGTCGAACTAACTAACTAAATTAATTCCCTTGTTCCATTTATGTTCGTTAGTTATAGTACTTGTACATATTTAACCTAAAATAACTAAAGACCCTCGGGATGGAATTTCAAACATGCAAAAACGAAATGGCATGCATATGGCATGACTATTTGTTGCTTGTTATATTTACGTACATTATATACATGTACCTACTGTGCATGTATATATATATATATATAATTTATATTTTATACACACATACACACAAAATATACAACAATATACACACGCAAGCGCATGTGTATTTATACCTACATACACACAGCCATATATACACACATCAAAAGTGTCTAAGGATCAAGCATTTTTATGCGGATTTCTTGAGATTGAGATGTGGCTTTGTAATAAATTTATGATTTTATAAATTTATATGGATCCTTTTTGGTGCATTTCATAATTTGAATCAGGAACTGTGAATCAAATTCGAGTAAAAGATGAAAATCAGCTGTCAATATTTTCCCTATAAAAACATACAACGCATTGAAGACATTATTAGTGCTACTGTTTCCCTACTACTGATTAAAACCAACGTTATTATGGAGCGGCGACGTCATTTAAGCAGGGAAGAAATGCTCAGAGCCGTGGGAATGATAGAAGCTGGTTCCCGGCAACGTACTGTGGCTTTAGCTCTGAATACAAGTCAGAGTGTTATCAGTCGACTTTGGACACGATACCGAAGCACTGGTACCGTGGCTGAGCGCCATGGAGGACGGTATCGCTGCACCACACGGAGACAAGACCGATACATTCAAATCTTAACTCGAAGAGCTCCAACAATAACCGCCATGATGTTAGCCGTGAGGCTTCATCACTCTTCAGGGAACTTAATTAGCGACCAAACAGTCAGAAACCGCTTGCATGAAGTGAACCTTCATTCCCGAAGACCGCTACGGGTACCACCTATAGCAATGCACAATCGTAGGATTCGATATCAATGGGCTCTTGAACACAGAAATTGGGCAGAAGAACAATGGCGTTTCGTGTGCTTTTCTGATGAGTCTCGTTTTGGTATGAGACCGGATACAAGACGTATACGACACTGGAGAACCCCTGGACGCCAACAGCGATTAAAATCCTGCCAGGAAGTCCATCCTTATAGTGGTGGAACCATCATGGTATGGGCGGGTATTTGGATCGGCGGAAGAACTGAGTTGATTTGGATCAGAGGCAACCTCAACGCTCAAATTTATGCTGAGACGATTGTATCAGACGTCATCGTTCCTCTACAAGTGCAAATCGGTCCCTTATTTCAGTTAATGCATGATAATGCACGACCGCACACCGCAAGAGTTGTAAGACAGACTCTCGCCGCAGCTAACATCAATGTCCTGCCCTGGCCTGCTCAGTCGCCAGACTTGAACCCGATTGAGCATGTATGGGATATGCTACAGAGAAAAGCTCTGCCGAATATGGAGGGTATCCAGTCGCAAGAAGACCTTTCTTTGTTGTTGCAACGAACATGGGCGGCCATTCCACAGCGTGATTTGGATGAACTCATTTTGAGTATGCCAAACCGATGTTCTTGTGTTGTTAGTGTTCGCGGTAGAAATACGGATTATTAATTGTTTAAGTTACCCAATAAAATTTTCGAGAAAACTGTTATTTCAGTCTTTTTTTCGAACTTTTGTGTTAGTGGTTCAAATGTCAAAAATCCCTTTATTAGGAAAATGGCAAATTTCTTTATTAATGCAAAGGTGACTTGGTTTATCGTTACTGTGACAAACGAAAACACTTTATTTGATGAATCCTTAAAGAAAATTTTAATTAATATCAATCAGGAGAAAAGTTATTGCAAAAATATATGTTGATCCCTAGACACTTTTGATGTGTGTATATATATATATTGTAAGGTTACTTCTACAGACAGGCGTTATGATTCGAGTAAAAAGAATTGCTATTCTCTACTTCTATGTATTATTATCAGGCGCCGTTCCTGTGCTTGTCCAAATAGGGTATTTGACAAGTTCTAGAAAACGATGTCACGTTATTGGCTAATGTTTATGGAGTCCGTAAAAAGTGGATATTCAGCATTCTGTTGTGTATTTCAGTAAACTAACCAAATCAAAAACTCCATTTTCAAGTTGCCGCGAAAACGTTTTTCTGGACAATATGGCGTCTTACTAGTGTGTGACGTCACACGACTGTTATTGAAACGTCAAACGATACAATGTAATGTTGCTTTAACCGGAAGTTTACTTGCGTGTGACGTCATTTTAGGCTCCACCAATCCCAAGCGTTTTGGGTCACGTGACAATAAATAAGAAAACTATTATCTTTTTCGTGTAAATAGTAAAAACCCCTGCCAATATTCATTCTAAACACAGATGCTAACAATTAGCGCTTTATTTTTAATACTGTCAAATACCCTATTGCATTTCAGCTTTTTATAATAAACCTCTGCAATATCGCCCCTGTTAAAATTTCTTCACGCCTCTTTTTTGCAAACCCATGCTGTATTCCTTTGGGAAAACCATAGCTTCATCTAACGCGTCACGAAGTTTAGTGGAAACTTTCTCTTTTGCCTTGATCACACGTACCGAGCCAATGAGTGAGACAGCGCTCTCGCCGAGAACTCGGTACGCATAAACATAGCGCCGAGTGCTCGGCCGAGCGCTTTTACATGAGTTTTTAATGCCTTGATCACACGTACCGAGCAAACGAGCGAGACGGTGCTCTCGGCCGAGTACATGGTACATATTAACATAGTGCCGAGTGCTCGGCAA